ACAGGGCAGCTTGCACGAGGAGATTTGGCTGCGCCGCCCTCCTGGCTTCACTGGGTCGTTCCCTCCTGGTACTCTGTGGAGCCTCCGGCGGCCAGTCTACGGTCTCCGCCAGGCGAGACGTGAGTGGCACGACACACTGAGGACGACAATTGCGGCTCTTGGGTTTGCTCCGTCGACTGCTGACCCGTCGCTGTTTTTGCGCACCGACACTTCGCTGCCGCCATTCTACGTTCTCGTGTACGTCGACGACTTGGTCTTCGCCACTGCTGACACTGAGGCTCTCGCCCTGGTGAAGTCGGAGCTGCAGAAGAGACACACGTGCACAGACCTGGGTGAACTGCGCAGCTACCTTGGCTTGCAGATCACCCGGGACAGAGCACGCCGCACCATCACACTGACTCAGTCACACATGGTGCAGCAGGTCCTTCAGCGCTTCGGTTTCACATGGTCCTCAGCACAGGCCACTCCTCTGGCTACAGGTCACTCGCTCTCAGCTCCACCTTCGGACGAGTCCGTAGAGCCGAGTGGTCCTTACCCAGAGTTAGTGGGCTGCCTCATGTACCTGATGACTTGCACTCGTCCTGACCTTGCGTACCCTCTTGGCCTTCTGGCTCGCTACGTGGCTCCTGGTCGGCACCGAAAGGTGCACATGGATGCTGCCAAGAGGGTACTACGCTACTTGTGCAGTACATCGGGCATGGGGCTCGTGCTTGGAGGACGGGGTGACGTTGTCCTCACTGGTCACTCGGACGCCTCTTGGGTTGACGACCAGGCTACGCAGCGGTCGTCACAGGGTTACACCTTCAGCCTTGGCTCTGGTTCAGTTTCTTGGCGTTCTACACGCTCGTCTTCAGTTCTCGGTGTCAGAATATTATGTTTCTCTAGTCTGCAGTGGGGTACTCGATAGTGAGTACAACCCTTTTAGGGTTTGCTATATGTATCCCAATGTTTGCTAGTGAACCTCCTCACTTCCGCTCCACTCTTCTCTCTCATTCCTGCTGTTCATTCTCACATGGTATAGAGCTAGTTTCGATCCTTCCTCGGGCCCACCACTTAAAACTTTTTTTTTAACTGCCCTGTTGCCCGAAGCGCCCTTCGCGGCCCCTTCGCGGCCCCTTAACGGCCCCTTCGTGGCCCCTTAGCGACCCTGTCGCGGCCCTTTGTGGCCCCTTCGCGACCCTGTCGCGGCCCTTTGTGGCCCCCCATTCGCGACCCCGTCGCGGCCCTGTCGCGGCCCCGTCACGACCTAGCCCCGGCCCTGCCCCGTCGCCCGACCCTGCCCCGTCGCGGCCCCACGTCGCGGACCCCAGTCGCGGCCCCCGTCGCGGCCCCCCCCCCGTCGCGGCCCCCAGTCGCGGCCCCCGTCGCGCCCCCCCCCGTCGCGGCCCCCGTCGCGGCCCCCCGTCGCGGCCCTCCGTCGCGGCCCCCAGTCGCGGCCCCACGTCGCGGCCCCCCGTCGCGGCCCCCGTCGCGGCCCCCCCCCGTCGCGGCCCCCCCCGTCGCGGCCCCCGTCGCGGCCCCCCGTCGCGGCCCCCGTCGCGGCACCCCGTCGCGGCCTCCCGTCGCGGCCCCCGTCACGACCCCTGCTCCGGCCCTGCCCCTGCCCTGCCGTGGCCCTGCACGGCCCTGCCCCGGCCCTGCCCCTGCCCTGCCCCGGCCCTACCCCGGCCATGTTGCGGCGCGCCAGGGGCCCGCGCCCTGCCCCCCTCAGGTCGCCTCGACAGGCGACGGGAGGGGCGATCTTGGGGGGGGGGGGGGGGCGGGCGTCGCCCCTTCTGCCGCCTGTGCTGGCGCCCTGGGAGGCCACGCGTCGCCCCCCCCCCCCCCCCACCCTCCCTGCCCGCCATCCCGCCCTGCCCTGTGTTAGGGTTTGGGGGTGGCGAGTAGGGGGTGGCGGGTGTGAGGCATCCCCTGCTCCTCCTCCTCCTCCGTCTCCCACTGCTGCAGCTGCCGCTGAGGGGGGTGGGTGTGTGGGAGCCGATGGAGTGGTGCTAGGGGGTGGGTGTGTGGGAGCTGACGGAGTGGTGCTAGGGTGTGGCGTGTGAGCAGAGTTAGAGGTGCAGCAGAGGGTGTGTGAAAGGGGGGTGAGACAGTTAGAGGGAGGATGGGCGGAGGCAGCCGTTGTGTCGCCAGCAGCGCCAGTAGTCCGGAGGCTACAATCTCCGGTAGCCCAGTTGTAGCCAGCTGCGCCAGTCGCCCGTGGGTCCGTTGCTCCTGCCGCTCAGAGTTAGCCGCCGAGCCTGTTACTCCTGTAGTCCGGGGCCTTTGCTCCGGTAGCCACTGTGCGCGCCGACTCCTGTTGCCCGTGTGTCTGCAGCTTCAGCCGTCGCCTCCTATCTCCTCTCCTCTTACAGTCCCGCCTCCTCCTCACTTGCCCTCTGTGATAGCCTCTAGCTTGGCTTATAATTGTGAACTTTAAACTGTTGCTTGTGCTCAGAATGTGTGGTGACATTGTGATCCACCCTGAGCTTATTTTGCTTTTCTTCTTGTGCTGATTACACCCCACTTTGACTATGGGGGTGTGTCAGAATATTATGTTTCTCTAGTCTGCAGTGGGGTACTCTATAGTGAGTACAACCCTTTTAGGGTTTGCTATATGTATCCCAATGTTTGCTAGTGAACCTCCTCACTTCCGCTCCACTCTTCTCTCTCATTCCTGCTGTTCATTCTCTCACTCGGCTCCAGTTGTGAGGCTGAGATCTACGCCACAGCCATGGCTGCACAGGAGCTTCGCTGGCTCACCTACCTGCTGACTGACTTGGGAGAGCGGCCTAGTTCTCCTCCAGTGCTGTACGTCGACAACAACGCCGCCATTGCCTTGTGTCAGGAGCACAGACTGGAGCACATAACGAAGCACATCGCTCTCTGTTACTTTCTTGCTCGAGAGCTGCAGCAGCGTGGCCAGCTTCGTCTTACCTACGTGGCCACTCGGGCCAACACTGATATATTCACCAAGGCGCTTCCGCCTGGTGATCATCAGCGTCTCTGCACTTTGTTAGGCCTTGTGCCCACTCTTCCTCACTTGCTGTAGGCTTTGTTTGTACCATGATTTATATGTATTCCTGCATGCTTGTTCTTGTAGGTAGATATCACTGTACAGTTGTTGTTACATATATATTTCTGCATGTGAACTGGCCTTGTGGCCTTCTTGCTTGTGCTCAGACTGCGTGGTGACGTTGTGATCCACCCTGAGCTTGCTTTGCACTTCCTGACTGGTCTTGTGACCCTCTGTTCTCCCCCACTTTGCCTATGGGGGTGTGTCAAACATATGTGTATATATGTTATAGGTTGGTTAGGCTTAGTGGGGTACTCACTGTGGGGTACAACCCCTTAGGTTTCTCCTTTGTTCTTTTTCCCTCGACAGTCGACACTCACTTTTTCCCGTAAGATTCTAACACGTTGAGGCTCATACGGAGCAAAGGTAGGTTGTTGTTGATTTCCGCGCGCGTACGATGAACCATCAAGACTCATTGGTGTTGCTCTGTTGTTGTTGCTGGTGTTTGATTGCGCAGGAGCTGCTTGCTGGTGTTGCTCGTAGAAGGACATGAAGGAGAAAAATTTCTCCATCATGTTTGAGTCGAAGCCTGCCGCTTGATTTCCGGGGATTTCCGTTGACTCTGCAGCTGGTCTTGTGCCTTCTTCTGTCTGTAGGCCGGAGACTGGAGGTGGAGTAGGGGTGGTGCCGAGAGATCCGTTGGAGGAGCTCCTCTCCTTTTGTGTAGCCATGACTTGTATTGTAAAAGGTTAAAAAGTGATATTGTCCTGCCTTGCTCTCATACCATGTTGGGCTGAGAAAAGCCCTTGGGAACTTTCAGGACTAAGATCGGGTGTTGACGTAGAGTTGTAACAGCGGAAGCGTTTAACAAAGAGTTGTCGTGAACCACCTTGTACTAGTGTGTGAGAACAAGATAAGTTAATAACAGCAGAGAAGTACAAGGCTTTTATATGATTACAAAGGAATATTGAAAGTTCTATTTTAACTGTTTTTGCTGCTGCGGTTCGATACAGTGCCGACTCGGGTAACTGCTCTGTAACGAGTCAGTTATGTGTCCTTGCTGTCGCACTGTACGTTTCGTCAGGTCAAAGGTCAGAGACCTTTGATCTTCGCGCAACCTCTGACGGTTGCCTTGGTTGACTCGAGTGCTTCTTCGCTGTAGTCAGTTCCGTTTTGTGTCGAAGCTTCGATACGACAGAAGCGTTATAAATCACTTGTTTCCAACACACCTTACCGTGCCTTTTGCATCCACTAACAATCCCATGGCAACCTGGGGGTCGAGCCGACACCAAGTGCTGCGCATGTGCCTAGCCTAGTGTTACCGGTATGTCTTTTGAAGAACGTGGAAGTTACTTAGCAGCTTGTTCACAATAAATAATCTCAAATTGCTATAAGAACCATACTTGAGTGGGCATAAGAATGAAAGCGTGAGCGCACTGTACTGCAACCATCAAACAAGGCTATGTAGAACTTGGCAGCAGAAAATCGTAGAATGTAATTGCTGTGTGAGATAAGTTATGCAAAGCTGGTGTACCGGCTTTATCTGAAAACAAGTTGAGGCTACATTTCTGTTTGTGATATTTCAGTAGCAGGAAGGTTTTGTTTATAAGGAGGACAGGTGGTACGCCACCATGAATGATCACTCTTCCCTCTTCCCCGTTCACCCTCCACCCCTTCCCTCTCCCTCCGTCTCCGCACTTGGTTCGTTCTCCCGAATTCCCGCACCCCAACCTCGAGAATTTCGTGCCCCGCATCTGTTCCCCCAAAAATCTCCCATCCCCCGCTGCCCCTCTCTTCCCCCTCTTCCCGCCCTTGTTTTCTCCCCTTCCGCTTTCCCTCCACTCCGCTCCTGCTCCCTCCCGCCTCTCCGCCTTGTCTCGTATTTGCCTCCTAGCTGCTCCTAACTTCGCCTCTTTTCCCTTAGTCTGCACAGCACAGGACTAATTCCTCCGTCCTCCCTCCTCCCCTTCCCCGTGGATAGTCTCTCCACCTAAAATCAGCCAAAATGGTTCGTGTTCAATCCCTAGACTGCTGGACGATTATGCGAGTGATCCTGGTACTGAGACAAAAAAATACTTGGTCGAGGAAAAATATGTCTGGGTGGTGTGGACTCATTTTAGGGTTTGCTAGGAAAGCCGTTCACGATCGAGCTTCTTACGAGCATTGCTGCATTTTCCACCTCCGCGACTGCGTTTCACTCTCATCAGCACTGACCATTCCTTCTAGTTGCCGTTCTTTATCGTCAGATTCGTCATCCGTGTCGCTTACTTCGTGTTTTTTCACCAACACTGACCCTACGTCAAGCGCTTCACTGTGGCCATTTTTTCTCCTTGATTCGATCAGCCGTTCCGGAGATACATGGAGGTGGGCCGGGTGTGCATGGTCAACTTCGGCCCCATGTACGGCAAGCTCGTCGTCGTCGTCGATATCATCGACCAAAACAGGGTGAGTAGCAGCCGTTGACCACGTTGACCCCGTTGAACGACAAGTATGAGGCACCTCATGTACGGCAAGCTCATCGTCGTCGAAATCATCGACCAATAGAGCGTGAGCAAGAGCCGTTGAACCCGTTGACAGCGTTGACCCCGTTGACCGCGTTGACTCCGATCACCGACAAGTATTGGTATTCCGACAAAGAGAGGAGCCTATGACCACCAGTCCCATACCCCATGTTTTGGCGACGCCTTCTTTTCGTCAACATTATCCAGAATCACGGACTACACTCCACAAGAGAGAATCACTGCTGCGCAGGATATGGAAACGGTGCATAGTGCAGGAACGTAGCTGAGAGGTTGTGTTAGGTCACGCGATTCTGATGCTGCCGCAGCGAACGACGCAACTTATAGTCGGTTCAAGAAGGGGTTAGGCATATGGTGGATAGGCTGTGCATCAGGAGTGAGGGTGTATTGCTTCACAGCGATTCCGTTGCAGCAGACGCGGACGGCGTATCTTCAGGGCGACTTAGAATTAGGTTATGCGAACGGTGGATAGGCTGTACATCAGGCGGGTGGGTGTATTGCGTCACAGCGAATCTGGTGCAGCTGACGCGAACGTAGTGACTTGACTCGAAAAGTGGCAAAACGAAAATGGGGCAAACGCGAACCGTGAATAGCTTGTGCATTAGGATAGAAAGTGTATTAGGTCACCGCAGCATCCTATTGCAGCAGAATGAAATAGCTTTCAGCGGCATCGGCAGACATCACCAGGCGCGTTGACAGCGTAGTTAAGCAGGCGTGTCGAGGGCAGGCTTGAACAGGCATTTTCATAGCAGCAGGTGAGGATCCATTTTATGGTGATGTTGCATTAGCCGTTGGCCTTTTTGAGGAATTTTCTTATAGCCCGGAATCACGAGCGGTCAGGATCATTACGGTACTGCGCAGGACGGGCGTCCAATTAGGGTTTCATTTCTCTGCTTAGGTACCGTCGGTTCACTTGGATTAGGGTTTTTAACGATTCACACCGACTAGGGTTTCAACAATTCCGTCGATTAGGGTTTCGGTTTTCTGCGATTCCCGTCCGTCGGGTTTCAGCCACTTGTATCGGAGCCACGGTACAGTTGCCGCAAAGAATCTCGTTAAGTGAGGAAAGGCGAGAGACTTCGCGAGTTTTTGTTTTCCTCGAGGCGTCGTAAATTTCGAAGCCGCAATACCGGTTTTTCTTACCGTCTGCGCTTTTAGCGACACGGAACCCGTCGTGGCGTGACCTGTTTCTTTGTTATGTTGGCATAGAGTTTGAAGCCCTGGTGGGCGGCACGGAGCTCCATCAGTTGAACTAGAAGCGGCCTTGCTTGCAGTCATCAGCAGACCTTACTCCCACACCCTCCTCCCATTCCCCGTCCCCCCTGCGCTCTTCCCCCGTGCGCCTTGTTCCCCGTTCCCCGTGCCCCCCGTTCCGCCTTTCCCACATCCGCGCAACACCAGGCCCTGGTGGACTTCACGGGCATGGAGCGCCAGCAGATCAACTACAAGCGCCTGTCGCTCACGGACATCACCAGGCCTTATCCCCACCCCCTCCGCCCAGCCCCCCATTCCCCGTGCTCCCCCCGCTCCCGTTTCCCCCTTCCCCCTGTTCCGCCCCCTTCCCCCCTTGCCCCGCAGGCCCTGGTGGACTTCACGGGCATGGAGCGCCAGCAGATCAACTACAAGCGCCTGTCGCTGACGGACATCACCATCGACATTCCCAAGGCCGCCTCGAAGAAGGAGCTGCGCGCCGCCATTGAGGCCGGTGGTGAGTGATACCGCGCGGTTTCCGTGGGTGAAATGCGGTGCTAGGGTTTGACAGTGTTGGGTTTTTTCTCCTGTATGTACCAGATTAGGGTTTGATTTTCGCTGAAAAACATCACCATCGACATTCCCAATGCTTCCTTGGAGAAGGAGCTTCGCGCTGCCGCCCATGCAGGTGGTCAGGAAATTAGGGTTCGTGATTTTGCAGGCTGCCTTCTTTTGGGATATAATTGAATTTCAAGGCCTCCCCCCCCTCCCTTCTTCTACTTTCCCTCCTCCCATCTTTCTTTCTTCCTCCCAGCCCCCCGTTCTCTTTCGCACTGGCATGGCTCCCATATGATGATACACTATTCACAAAAGTTTCAGCCTTGTCGTATGCGAGAGCATGCCTCTCGTGCTGCCGATTTTCATACGGCTGATGGGATGTCAGCTCTCTCTTCCCAATCCCCCATTCCCCCTCTCTCTTTCCGTCCCCCGTCTTTCCTCCCTTCCCCCCCTCCCCTCACCCACCCCCCCCTCCCCCTTTCCCCACTCTACCCGTCTTCCCCCGGTTTCGTATTCTCTCTCCTCTCTTCTCTCCCGCCTCCCCTCCCGCCCTCATGGCTCCCATATGATGATACACTATTCACAAAAGTTTCAGCCTTGTCGTATGCGAGAGCATGCCTCTCGTGCTGCCGATTTTCATACGGCTGATGGGATGTCAGCTTTCGCTTCCCAATCCCCCAATCCCCCATCTCTCCTGCCCTTCCCCCCTTTCCCCCCCTTCCCCTCCCCCTCTACCCGTCTTCCCCTAGTTTCGTACCATCCCCCTCTCCCCTCCCGACTCACCTCCCGCCCTCATGGCTCCCATATGATGATACACTGTTTACAGAAGTTTCTGCCACCTTTTCCCCAACCACCTTTTCCCCTCACAACCCAACAACAGAGGTGCAGAGCAAGTGGGAGGCGAGCTCGTGGGAAAGGAAGCTGCTGAGCCAGAAGAAGTTACCACTGATGCACCCCCCACCCCTCCCCCCTCTGATTTTCCCGTGTTCCCCTCGTTACTGTCACAACAGAGGTGCAGAGCAAGTGGGAGGCGAGCTCGTGGGGGAGGAAGCTCTTGATCCAGAAGAAGCGGGCGGCTCTAACCGACTTCGAGCGCTTCAAGATTGCTGCCGCCCGTTCACAGGTACTGTTCATGGACTGTAGATATCTGGGGGTAATTGTGAAAGGTAGGTACTGGGGCTCACAGTTACCGTTCATGCAGTGTACATATTTCGGAAGTAATTGTGAAAGGTAGGTACTGGGGCTCACAGTTACTGTTCATGCAGTGTACATATTTTGGAAGTAACTGTGAAAGGTGGGTACAGCTGCAATGTTTGCTGTGTTCGTTTTGGAAAATATTGCTCTGCCTCCCTACCCCACCCTCCCCTACCCCTTCCGCTCCCCTCCCTCACCCTTAGCTCCTTCCTCATCCACTTTTCACCCCAAACCCCCTCTTGCTTTCCTTTTCTGCCCGTGATCTGATTTGGATTTGTTCTTCCCTCTCCCTGCCCCCTCCTCCCCCCACCACCCCCTCCTCCTCCTCCCTTATCTTGTGTGTCTGTACCTTACACTTGCAATATACAGAAAGCCAAGGCTGTGAAGAAGGCTCTTGCTTAAAGAAATGTGATTGGATGGGACAAATGGGTGGAGTATGGATGTTGCATGGTTACCATTAACCATGGTGTTCTGGCCTCCCCCCCAGTTTCAGCTGCTGGTAGGGTCATTCCTCGTGTCCATTTTCTTTGTGTTGGAACGAGCTTGGCAAAAGTTGCAGCTTGGTTGTATCTCTGATGGTGCAAAAAGGAATAATTACCATACAAATTGGTGCCTAGATTAGGCTCATGGAACGTAGCATGCAGGGCTGACGTTTCATTTTAAGCCTCCCTAATTCCAGGGAAAATTTTCCCCCTCTATTATGGGTGCACATTTTCCAGAAAAGCAGTACCCTGATTGCTCAGGGTTGTAAAGTAGTTACGGTAACACTGATTGTTCAGGGTCGAGAACTGAACATCAGAGTAGTAACGCGCGCTTTGTTACCGGGGAAAATATCCCCACTCTCCATAAAGTCTGCGCGCTGTGTTTCCTGCTGGCTGTACACTGATTTGTGCAGGGAGGGTGTGATTGACCTAGCTGGTGTGCGAGTGTAACGTTTCCCTGTCTTATTACCATGCCCAATTGGATCTTTTCAGCTGGCATGCATCAGACACGCTGCGACTGTAGTTAGTCACCCTCAGAGGCGTTCCTTCTGGAGCGAGTGTACCGATCGAACGGGCGAGTCACACCTGTTCGAGTCACAGATTTCCGCTGTCAGAGCCTATTTCGACCAATCCCAGCAAAGTATATCTGACATTGCAGATTCACGCGATCTCGATGGTAGGTGTATCAGAACGAAGTTTCGAAGAAAGTTCGTCTCGATAAAGCGGGAAGGGGGGGGGGGGGATTACGCACATGTGGGGGGATCACTGCGATCAATCCAAGGCGGGGTCATCGGAAGGAAACTTCCGAGAAACTTCCTCTCGATAAGTCAGGGTCCACACAGTCGATACTTTGTTAAGTCAGGGTCCACTAACAGCCTAGTCTGTTACACTGTACTCAAAATCAGGGATAGCTAAACTATTACTCTGATTGGATCAGGGTTGGAAATTCAATAACTCTGAAATTTCAATCTCCACGAAGTGGAAAGCCTGAAATCACCCTGAAATAAGGGTAATTACCCTGATAAAATCAGCCCTGGTAGCATGGTTTGGTTATTCAACAGGGACAAGCAGTGGCTTATTGGACTGTCAACTATCAGGGATTACAAGCTGTTCGTACAGCTGCCTAGAAGCCTGCTGTGTATTCATTTAAAATTGTAAGGAATGACAGCTACAGTATACCCCAAGCTGTAGTTTTATATCATGATGCCATCCTTTCGGGTTTTCAAACTGTGCGAAACCGCCTGCATATGAGCACTCAATTTGCGATGTCTGGTGCATCACTGTACAGTGCTGGCTGATTGTCGGCTCTGTTTAACATGTCGAACTGCATAGAACTGTAGCAGGGGAATTTGCAGGTTTGACCCGTAAGTGGTGTCTAGCGGTTGCAGGAGGCCAGAGAAAATGACTTGGATAGCGAATGTCCAGCTGCCAAGCTTCGTGAGGCTGCCAAGCTTCGTGAGGCTGCGTCGCATCTGTCAGTTTTCTTCCGGGATGCTGCGTCTCAACAGACGAAGTAATTGTGGCTGGATGGTGTCTGTTGGAGAGGACGCGTCCTCCACCCCAACTCCTCATCGTGTGGCTGTGCAACAAACCTACGGTATTCGATAAATTTGTATAACCTCAATTTCAGGTGCATTTCATCGAAATACTCTTGTGCCGTATATTTGCCAGTCTTTTGGATGCGAGAACTGCACCATCAACCTTTCACTCTCGCCCTGCGGCTTCCAAATGTACAGTGCAGTGTAGCTTGCGAAGACCCTTTTCTGTTTGGGAAAATATGCCACAAGTAACCAACTTGGAACTCGATAACGCGAATGGAAAAAAAAACGCGTACGGTCACTGTATCGGGTTTTCTGACGGGTTTGGTAAGCGGGGTCACGGATTAAGTCACTAACAACAGGTAAAAAATCACGCGAATGGTCACACATGTGACTCCCGCCAAAAAAACTTGAAACTCAACAAAATTCCCGCTCGCGCCCAACCAATCTGCGAACTTGTAAAAAAACTAAGACCCAATCGGAATCGGATGCGGTTTGGGAACGGATCAACCCTAAACACCTGGCGAGTTACGTATTTAGGGTTGATCATCCGAAAATGCATCCAGGTTCTTTCTTGGTTTCATTTTGTTTTGGCGGGAGTTTCATCTGTGACCATTCGCGTTTTTTTTTACCAGCTGATTGTGACTGATTCCGTGAAACGCTTTATCAGTCGCGTGAAAACACCCTTTTCAGTGACCGTACCCTTTATTTGTTTACCAAAAATGTTTTTGAGTCCCATGATGGATACAAACGGCATATTTTCCCTTTCTGTTTCGATTGGAAAGGACCCTCGGGGCCTCGTTTTCTTTTCTTTTCCCCCACGCCACGGCAAATCCGACCCGTTCTCCCACAGCCACTTGTATTTTGGCACCTGCACTGTACGAACCGCCGACCGACCTATGGAGACGAGTTGCATGGCATTGTGTGCGTGTTGTGTGGGGACCGAGACACGGCCTGGCCACACGGAAATGCTGTCACTTCACGTCACGCGTGCAGAAAGGCCCAATGAATCATTTTTCCACCGCCGCTCCTTCAAGATGAGGGTGACCGCAATTCTCGCAGCGATTGGTCAACTGAATTCTGTTGCGCACGTCACTTTGAACAAGAGGCAGCTGTTCCTCGATGAATTCAATGCAACCTCCGCCACTCGTAATAAACAAACTTTTTGATAAGAAAAAGAAACAGCTAAACATGTGGCCTCAAACTCTTCCCGTATTGAGTTAAACGCCAGTACAAGGTCATTTTTAGGTCAAACTCGGCTTGAGTGTGTTAGCTTCATGTGTACGTACCGAGGTACCATAACATAAACTTTCAGTGAAGCTAACCGCATGTGCTGACTAGTAAAAAAAGGAATCTTCTATCTTGCCAACATAGCATTCTCTTCCCTATTTCTCAGCTAGCCGTTCAACCCCAGACGCGTCAAACTTCCCTCAAAGCAGGGGAATCCTTGCCCTGCTGGCATTTCCCGTCCGGTTTTATGTTTACCGGGTAAAGCTGACCATGGTTGTGACTGTGAGCTCCACTTCATCCCTATTTTCCCTTACTCGCCTAATCAACGAAGGGGACTTCAACGTCACCCGTCGTTGTTCAAAGCCAAATGCAACGACGACAATCCCCATCGAGAGGTTGCTCAGGCTACCTGCCTTCAGATCCCATCACATCCCAGGTCGCTTACAAAAAAACCAGCGATTACCACAACAAACATTCTTGAATAACAAACACCCGCCGCAACAGCCGCCGTCCATCTCTGGCGGTAAGGATAGGCTATATCATTCGCGTTGGCTTGCAATTCACTTACAGTACCACATTATACTTCATTATCGTGACAATGATTGGCGCATCTGGGAACAATGTGATGTGGTTCTGCCTCAGAACAACGAGGAGCAACGAAGACATGGCAAGAATGAACTTGATTAGTCGTGAAATAGTTTTGAAAAACATATTTATCGTTAGTAGATAACAATTTTCCACTTGCATTTCTATCAGTTCTAAATTAGTTAGTTACTTTGCATTTACTATATTAAAAAATATTTTATTATTATTATTGTTTTCGCTTTCTCTCCGTCCCCTTCCTTTCCTACCTTCCAAGGAGGAAGAAGGAGGAGCTATTAACTCGCCCCACTGTCCCCCATCGTTCCCTCCCCGCTTTCCCCACACTTAAGCCCCCTTCCAACTCGCCTCCCTGTCCCCTTTGTTGCCCTCCTCTCTCCCCTAAGCCCCTCTCCAACTCGCCTCCACCTCTCATCATCCAAGCTCCCTGCACCCCTTCCCTCCCCTCCCCTCTTCCATCGCCCTTCCCTCCTGGGAAGGTAGGAAGAGCCAACTCGCCGCCCTGTCCCCTTTGTTTCCCTCCCCTTCCCCCCTACTAGTTCCCCTCCAACTCGCCTCCACCTCTCATCATCCAAACCCCCAACACCCTTCCCCTCCCCTCTTTCATCCCCTCTTTCCACCCTCTGCATCCCCCCTCCCCCCCCCTTGCCTGTCAGCATACCCCAGTGATAGACTTTTGAAACGTCTCAACAGCCGTCTTTCCTCCCCTCCTCCCCCCACTTCCCCTCTCTCCCCATTTCCCTCCTCTCCTCCCCCAGCTGTCATCACCATCACCAGATTCGCGCCGTGTCTCTACTACAGCCAATATCCCCCCCCCCTTGCTGCGCCAGCAGTGGCAGTGGTAGACTTTTGAGACGTCTCAAAAGCCCTCTTTCCTTCCCCCTTCCCTTTCCCAACTGTCCTGACTAGATCCACACCGTGTCTCTGCAACCGTCAACGTTTCCCCCCTTGCTGCGTCAGCAAGCGCCAGTGCCAGCTCAGACCAAGATCCGCAAGAAATATCAAACTTCTTCACACCCGAACCAGACCCTGTCGGGCAGTCTAGGAAAGTTTCTGAGCTGACCGGCGCGGGCAGTCAAGGGGAGTCTGCTATGGCGAATGATGCGGGTTCTAGCGCGTTTTGGGAGCGTGCTAAGGAAATAAAGCCTCCCATGTAAGTGCTGAAGAAATAAAGGCTCCCAGAATGTAGGCCCTCTTCACAGTGTGCATTCTTTCAAATGCGAATGATGGGGGTTCTAGCGCGTTTTGGAAGCGTGCAAAAGAAATAAATGCTCCCATGTAAGTGCTCTTCATAGAGTGCGTGCATTTCTTTCCTTCATAGGCGAATGATGGGGGTTCTAGCGTGCTATAATGGGGATTTTGAAGCGTTTTAAGTGATAAAGGCTCCCAGTAAGTGCTTTTGTCCTCCTCTCCGCCCCATATCCCCTTCCTCACTCCCTCCCTCCCTCCCTCCCTCCCTCCCCTCTCCAGTTCACTCTCTCTCGTCCTCTCCTCCTCCCTATTCCCCGGCGCTCCCGCGCTCATCCTCTCTCTCCCTCTCCCCTCCTCCCTCCGTCCTCCCCCTCCCCGCTCCCCCTCCCCGCTCCCCCTCCCTGCTCCCCCTCCCCGCTCCCCCTCCGCCCATCAGGTGCGTCAAGGTGCCCGTCTCCTCCCCCCCAAATGTTTGGGGACGTGCCGGACGACCCGCACCACTGGCTCAGGGACGAGAGGCGCAAAGAGAACACAACTGTGCTCTGTGTAATCCCCTCTCCGCCTCAGCTCTCCCCTCCCCTTCCCCCTCCACCTCCGCCTCTCCCTCCCCCTTCCCCAATCAGGTGCGCCAAGGTGCCATTCTCCTTCCCCTCAATATTCGGGGAGGTGCGAGACGAACCCCACCACTGGCTCTGTAACCCCCCTCACTGCTTCTGCTCTTTTCTCCCCACTCCCCCTCTCCCTCTGCTCTCCGCCCTCCCCTGCCGCTCCCCCTGCTCTTCCCACCATCAAGTGCGCCAAGGTGCCCTTCTCGTTCCCCCCGATGTCCGGAGACGTGTGAGACAACCCCAACCACTGGCCCAGGCACGAGAAGACCCTCACCCGCTGCTCTCCCCCTGCCTCTCCCGCCTCCTCCCCGCTTCCGGCTCCCCCTTTCTCCCTGCGCCCATCAGGTGCGCCAAGGTGCCCTTCTCGTTCCCCCCGATGTACGGAGACGTGTGAGACAACCCCAACCACTGGCCCAGGCACGAGAAGACCCTCACCCGCTGCTCTCCCCCTGCCTCTCCTGCCTCCTCCCCGCTTCCCGCTCCCCCTTTCTCCCTGCGCCCATCAGGTGCGTCAAGGCGCCCTTCTCGTTCCCCCCGATGTTCGGAGACGTGCCGGATGACCCCCACCACTGGCCCAGGGACGAGAGGCGCCCTCACCTTCTGCTCTCCCCCAATCCCCCTGCCTCTCCCGTCCCTCTCCCCCTCCCCCTCCCCCTCCCCTTCCCCTCCCCCTCCCCTTTCCCCACACCAGGTGCGCCAAGGTGCCATTCTCTTTCCCCCCAATGTTTGGGGACGTGCGGGACGACCCCCACCACTGGCTGAGAGACGAGAGGCGCAGGAATCCGGAGGTCCTGGCGCATTTGGCGGCAGAAAACGCGCTCACAGACGCTCTATTGCCTTCATGTAGTGACGGGAACATGGGGTGTACGGGGATGAAAGGAGAAAGGGAAGGAGGGGGAGAGAGAGAGGGAGTGTCCCTGCGCGTGCTGCTAGAAGGGGAGATGAAAGCGCGAGTGAAGCAGGAGGACAGGAGCGTTCCTTTGAGGAAGGGTGATTTCTGGTACTACACCCGAGAGGAGGAGGGTAAACAGTATCCCATCCACTGCAGGAGAGCAGCTGCAGACTCTACAGCAGCAGGCAACAGCAGCAGCTGCAGCAGCAGCAGCAGGGAAGGAATGAGTGGATCAAAGCAGGAGAAGCAGGCAGAGGGGGGAGAACTTACCTTTGAACAGAGAGATTATTTCTCCGAGTGCATGGATGAAGGGGTTCCAGAGGAGATAGTTTTAGACGAGAACAGGGAGGCGGAGGGGCGAAGCTTTTTCCACATTGACAGTGTTGTTGTGAGTCCGAACCATGGGTTTGTGGCGTATAGTCTCGATACGAGGGGGGACGAGAGGTACTCTATCCATGTCCGGCCTATCTGCTCGGGTTCTGCTGCTGCTGCTGCTGCTGCTGCTGCTGCTGCTTCTGCTGCTGCTTCAGCAATACTCTCGTCTGATGTGAGTGAAGCTTCAGTGGGGAAATTGTCAGTGTCAGCTGAGTCAGCAGCAGGAGCGTCAGAAGGAGCAGAACGAGTGCCAGAAGCAGCAGCATTGAGGTCAGCTGGGTCCCGAACAGTACCAGCAGCAGCAGAAAGATTAACGCCAGTAACACCAGTAACACCTGTAACACCTGTAACAGAAGCAGAGGGAACAGAAGCAGATACGGACGTCATTACATCAGAGTTTGGAACAAGCGGAGAGGTGTGCTGGGCAGAAGATAACCAAACCCTCTTCTACGTCGCTCAGGACGAAAAGGACCGCCCGTGCTCCGTCATGCGCCACGTCACCGGCACGCCGGTGTCGCAGGACGCGTGCGTCTTTTTCGAAAAGGACGAGGCGTTCGACGTGGGGATTCACCGTGCGTCGTCGGACCGATTCATTATAATCACGTGTGGGTCGGCTGTGACTTCGTTTCTGCTGGTTATCGATGTTCAGCGGCCGTTTGACCCCCCGAGGCAGTTGGTGCCGAGAGTGCATGTGAGTATTAGAGCAGCAAACAATCTGAGTAGCGTTTAGAGCAATGCACCTGCATGTGCTGCTGCAGATCTCGTTGTGTTGGAGGTTCATTATAGTCACGTTTTGAGACGTCTCAAAACACTATTTCAAACACCTCGTTGTGCTGGAGGTTCATTATAGTCACGTACGGGTCGGCTGTGACGTCCTTTCTGCTGGTGATTGACATTCAAAGGCCATTCGACCCTCCGAGACAACTCGTGCCAAGAGAGCATGTGAGTATTACAGCAGTGCCCCCTGCATAGGCTTCTGTTGCATAGGGTGGTTTGTGCGTGGTGTGTGGATCGGCTGTGACGTCCTTTCTGCTGGCGATTGACGTTCAAAGGCCGTTCGACCTTCCTAGACAACTCGTCCCGAGAGTGCATGTGAGTACGATTTTTGAGGCGCCTCAAAATTTTTGAGGCGCCTCAAAAATCGTCTATTTTTGAGGCGCCTCAAAAATCGTCTATTTTTGAGGCGCCTAAAAAATCGTCTAAGTTCACGCGGATTTTATATGGGGAATGTCTACATTGCTTGGAGGTGTGCACGTAACTTACAAAAGTTACTCGTGCGAGCGAAAGTTCCAAGGCTTATCGATAGCCCTGACGAAGACACCACAGAAGGCTGACACTTGTAACCTCGGGTTTTTACCCATTGCTGTGTTGGCGAATGCCCATTGTTAGGCAATCTGGGTAGTTGGGAACTTTGATTTCTGTTCGCGGTGTGGGTTAGTACTTAGCTCATACCAGACTGTAGATCTCGTTGTGTTCAGAAGCACTGATGAAGGCTTGACGGGTTTCTCCCCGCCTTGCCGAAACATGTTTGCGACCTGTTCTCTTTGAGTGAATACAGTTTCTTGCTTTCAGAATTCTCGTAGCAAGGGTTTTGTAACTCTCTTTCTTTTCTTGCTAAAAGCTTTCCTTAGTACTGCCGCTCTTCCAAACCATGAGTAACGACGACCCGTGGGACTTCGATTGGAATCCATCCGACGAGGAAGAAGCCAGTACAGGGAATCGCAGTTCGGTTAAGAGGTCTCGAGGTGAGGGTGGATCGTCACGCGCTGGAAGGAGAGCTCGTTCAGCATCCGGAGCGCGTGCTAAGATTCCCCCTCTGGCACTCACACTCGAGCCCACGACATCTAACAAGCAAGCTGAAGATCCTCTCCCCGGACCTTCTGGAAGTCGTCCCGTCATGTCGGACCCGGTCGACAATTCTCCAATCCCGGAACTTTTCAAGGGGTGGACGGCGTCGTCTGTAAAGGGTTTTCGCGACGATTTCAAGGATCTGCTTAAGGCGAAAAGCAAACTCAAGAAGATGAAGGAACTTGACCGTCAAGGCGTGATTCTCCACAGCATCCGCACGAAGACCGTGGAGTTCCAGACGAAGTTTGCCTCTGTCAAGGAGAAATCTGCTGCGTCCGTCTCAGAGATTCACTTGGCGAATCAAAAGCGGCTGCAAGCGGATTTTATCGCCTCGAAAGCACTGGAGATTGAAGAACTTCAGAAGGCGGTGGACTCGCACGTCGTCGCTCTAGCATCGAGGATGGAAGAATACATCAAGAGCCTGAGTGCTGACCCCGACTTGGTTGTGTCTGACGCCGCCAAGGAGAAATTCCGTGTTTTCAAGGGGCGTTGTAACGAAAAGGCGAATTCTGACATCCAGACCGCAAGGGATGAGATTGTCATCCGTGAGCTCGATCGACAGAACAAGGCTGCCGCCGAAGAGTTGAAGAAAGCAGCTGCGTCCGAGGAGGTGCAGGAAATGGAAGTGGAAGCTGGGGTTGGAGAGATCATGAATCAGCACGCGAAGCGGATTGAAGACAAGATTCGGAGGGAGATGATTCCGAAGATTGAGGCCAATCTGATGAAGAAGCTGCTGAAAAATCTTTCGTTGGGAAAACAGGATTCCCCCCAGGCTCCTGCTGCTGACGCGAAGCCGAAGAATGCCCCAGCCGGAAAACCGATGCAAACTACTCCGATGGAAAAGGAGCGCCACTCAGGGAGTACGGCCGGGAATTCCAAGCCGAAAAAGAAGCGCGGGGGTAAGAAGAAGAAGAAGGACGGCACCCAGGACCAGCAGGCGAAAGGCCAGGCAGCAGACGTGAAGGCCAAGGGACCAAAAAACGGCGGAGGCGGCCCAGGAAAAGGGCCGCACAAGAACTAACGAGCCATGATCTGGCGCTCCGCTGGTTCGGACAGCTGACAGTACGACAATCTCAGCTCGGATCCGGAACCGGGGAGTTCACAATCTCAGCTCTCGACTCTTATCTTCGGACGAGAAGAAGGGGCTGGGTTTGGGTCTGAAGTTCATCCCAACGCCTGCCGTTTCCCTTTCTGGCGACGTGGAGCTTAACACGCTACTTCGCCAGATTTCGCTTCATTTTTTCTTCAAGGATTCGGACAACCTGAAAGGGAACCCGAGATTTCGTGTGCGGAACCCCGGATGGCTGCCCGAGTGGAACGACATTCCGGAGCAGGTCTTCAAGGACTCGTTTGCTGACTTGTCCTTCCTGTTGAAGGCTTCCCGCCCCATCCGCCACTGGAACATTTCGAACGGTGTTAGACGGGCGCTGCGCTCCATCGCTACAGATCGCAACGTGGTGGTGAAACCTGCTGATAAGAACGTGGGGATTACTGTGTTGGATCGGAGCACCTACACCCGTCTCTGTCTGGAGCATCTTGACGACGCGGCTACTTACGCTCCGTGCCTCCACAATCCTACCGTCGAAGTTGTGCAGAAACTACGTGATCTGAAGAGTGTGTGGGGACCTGCTTTTCCAGAGAGTCTGTGGAAATACTTCTTTGACAAGCCTCGCGGAGGTTGGCGGCCGGCGGCGTTCTACATTCTTCTGAAACTGCATAAGAAGAAGCTTGCGGGGCGGCCCATAGCTGCTTCACATTCATGGGTGACTTCCAATGTTAGCCGATGGTTGGATGCTGAATTACGGCCGCTGGTTCTTAAACAAACGACTTACCTACGCGACTCCCTTTCGCTGCTGCTTATGCTGGAGAAAACTGCCTTTCCGAACGGGATTCTTCTAGCTACGTACGATGTGACTTCGCTGTACCCCAGTATACCACTGCGGCGAGGACTCGATGCGATCAGCAGCTTACTTCATCGAGAAAGACATTTGAATGCTCTTCCAGTCATGGCCCTGCTGGAGTGGGTCATGATGAACTCCTACGTGGAGTTCGACAGCCAAATCTTTCTTCAAACTCAAGGGACGGCCATGGGAACTCCTGCGGCTGTCTGCTTTGCGGTACTCTTCATGAGCTGGCTGGACGAGATGCTGACAAGGAGGTGGTCTGGGACGATTCCGTTGTGCCACGTGCGATACATCGACGATGGGCTGATCATTTGGCCCGGATCAAGGGGGGAGCTGGAGGAGTACCTGAATACCTTCAACTCGCTTGACCCCAACATCAAACTCACGTGGCAGATCTCAGACAGTTCGGCTGATTTTCTGGATATGGTCATCTTCAAGGGGCCACGCTTCGCCGAACAGGGTACCTTGGATCTGAAAACTTTTCAGAAACCGATTAATAAGTACCTGTACCTGCCTTTTTCTTCATTCCACCCCCGACATTGCAAGACGGGTTTTGTAAGGGCTGAACTGAAGCGGTATCTGTTACGCTCGACATCTGCCCCAACCTTTCTAGCTTCTAAGCGTGCTTTCTTCCAGCGGCTTAGAGATCGGGGTTACCCTGCTGATTTTCTCACACCCATTTTCCATAGTGTTCTCTTCAGGCAACGCCCGCTCCTTCTAGAGCAAACTGAAGCTCGCCAAGCACACCGACTTTCATCCCCACCTGAACGCGGCCCCCTGGTCTTGAAGACACTGTTCACTCCTGTGACAGCTCGTCTCAGGCTGGGGGTCCTTTTGAGGCGCCTAAAAAATCGTCTAAGTTCACGCGGATTTTATATGGGGAATGTCTACATTGCTTGGAGGTGTGCACGTAACTTACAAAAGTTACTCGTGCGAGCGAAAGTTCCAAGGCTTATCGATAGCCCTGACGAAGACACCACAGAAGGCTGACACTTGTAACCTCGGGTTTTTACCCATTGCTGTGTTGGCGAATGCCCATTGTTAGGCAATCTGGGTAGTTGGGAACTTTGATTTCTGTTCGCGGTGTGGGTTAGTACTTAGCTCATACCAGACTGTAGATCTCGTTGTGTTCAGAAGCACTGATGAAGGCTTGACGGGTTTCTCCCCGCCTTGCCGAAACATGTTTGCGACCTGTTCTCTTTGAGTGAATACAGTTTCTTGCTTTCAGAATTCTCGTAGCAAGGGTTTTGTAACTCTCTTTCTTTTCTTGCTAAAAGCTTTCCTTAGTACTGCCGCTCTTCCAAACCATGAGTAACAAAGGCCGTTCGACCTTCCCAGACAACTCGTCCCGAGAGTGCATGTGAGTACGACCTGCATAGGCTGCTGCTGCATAAGGTGGTGTGGTGGTGTGTGGGTCGGCTGTGACTTCGATTTTGCTGGCAATCGATGTTCAACGGCCATTCGACCCTCCCAGGCAATTTGTGCCAAGAGGGCATGTGAGTACTAGCGCAGGGCATGTGAGTAATAGCGCAGGGCATGTGAGTAATAGCGCAGGGCATGTGAGTAATAGCGCAGGGCATGTGAGTAATAGCGCAGGGCATGTGAGTAATAGCGCAGGGCATGTGAGTAATAGCGCAGGGCATGTGAGTAATAGCGCAGGGCATGTGAGTAATAGCGCAGGGCATGTGAGTAATAGCGCAGGGCATGTGAGTAATAGCGCAGGGCATGTGAGTAATAGCGCAGGGCATGTGAGTAATAGCGCAGGGCATGTGAGTAATAGCGCAGGGCATGTGAGTAATAGCGCAGGGCATGTGAGTAATAGCGCAGGGCATGTGAGTAATAGCGCAGGGCATGTGAGTAATAGCGCAGGGCATGTGAGTAATAGCGCAGGGCATGTGAGTACTAGCGCATGGCATGTGAGTAATAGCGCAGGGCATGTGAGTTCTAGCGCAGGGCATGTGAGTACTAGCGCAGGGCATGTGGCTACACGTGCGGGTCAGCTGTGACTTCGTTTCTGCTGGCGATTGACGTTCAAAGGCCGTTCGACCCTCCGAGGCAACTCGTCTTGAAAGTGCATGTGATGTGAGTAGTGGTAGACTGAATTGTGCCGCTTGTGTGGGCTGCTGCACTGGGTGTTGTGCTGATCTGGTGTTGTTGCATACACCGCTCGACCCTCTTCCCCTTCTAGTTTCCTTTCTCCACTTACCTCTGATCTGATCATCACTCTCAACCCATCTCCACCCTCTTGTCTTATCTCTCCCGTTCTCCCCCTTTCAGAACGTGGAGGTGTATGGAGATCACAGCGCGTTGCACTTCTTCCTCCTCCGCCGCTCCCCCCCCCTCTGGAACTCGGAGCTCCTCACCACATGGGACTCCTCAAATATCTTTTCCCCCCCACCCCTCCCCCATCGCCTTCCTTAGAACGTGGAGGTGTATGGAGACCACAGCGGCTCGTGCTTCTTCCTCCTCCGCCGCTCCGATCAGATGCGAAACTCGCAGCTCCTCACGCTGCCTGTTGCTGACGCTGCTGATGCTACTCCTACTGCTGCTACTGCTGCTGCTGCTGCTGCTGCAGCTGAGGCTGTAGAGCCCTCAGTGGTGCTCCCGCATGATCCCAGGTGAGCCAGACAGACAGATCACAGCAGGTGGCACTTCTTCCCCCTCCGACCCTCCGCGCTCCTCTGGAACTCCGAGCTCCTCTCGCTGCCTGTTGCTGATGCCGCTGCCACTGCTGCTGCTGATGCTGCTACTGCTGCATCTGAGGCTGTAGAACCCTCGTTGGTTCTCCCACATGATCCCAGGTGAGCCAGACAGACAGATCACAGCAGGTGGCACTTCTTCCCCCTCCGACCCTCCGCGCTCCTCTGGAACTCCGAGCTCCTCTCGCTGCCTTTTGCTGATGCCGCTGCCACTGCTACTGCTGATGCCGCTGCCACTGCTGCTGCTGATGCCGCTACTGCTGCTGCTGATGCCGCTACTGCTGCATCTGAGGCTGTAGAACCCTCGTTGGTTCTCCTACATGATCCCAGGTGAGTCAGACAGACAGATCACAGCAGGTGGCACTTCTTCCCCCTCCGACCCTCCGCGCTCCTCTGGAACTCCGAGCTCCTCTCTCTGCCTGTTGCTGATGCCGCTGCCACTGCTGCTGCTGATGCCGCTACTGCTGCATCTGAGGCTGTAGAACCCTCGTTGGTTCTCCCACATGATCCCAGGTGAGCCAGACAGACCGACCACAGCAGGTCGCACTTCTTCCTCCTCCGCCGCTCCGACCAACTGCGGAACTCCGAGCTCCTTGCCGTGCCTGCTTCAGAAGATGCTGATGTGGAGGGATCTCAGCCGTTGGTGCTGCTGCCGCATGACCCCAGGTGGGACCTTAAACCTTAAACCCTAAACCCTAGCCCCCCTACTGTGAAGCTCCAATTAGTGGCGGCCTTTATGTGGGTTTTGAGATGTAAACCCCTAACCCTAAGCCCTGAAATCGGTCTTTCTTTGTCCTTGTACCTTTTATTGTATTTTTTCACCCCCCAGTGTGAAGCTCCAATCAGTGACAGCCTTCAAGCGCCACGTGGTCGTGTTTGAGAGGGTGAAGGGGCTCCAACGGATCAGATCCATCCCCTTGCGATCCGACGGCTCTCCTGCACCTGAAGCTGCCAAACTGTAAGCTTCTAACCGAAGCATGAATATGCTATTCCTTGCCTTCCACCCTCATAGTGAGCTAGATGCTTCCCATTTATTTCCCATGTGTCTTGCAAGTTGCACCCACTTATTTCCCTTCCCTCGTGCTCCTTGGCTTGCATGTGAATGCGTTTGGCTGATTGGTGAAGGAAATCGAATCAACACACAAATTGCGCCCCGCCCCTTCTTCCTTCCTCCTCCCCCACCTTTTCCCTCTCGCGCCTTTCAACAGGGTGGAATTCGACGAAGCAGGATACGAGATCTGGGCCCTCAGAAGCCGCCTTAGTTGATTCAAAAGCCACCAGCGCAATCTAAAGCCCCTTCTCCCTCCTCCTCCCCCACCTTTTCCCTCTCGCGCCTTGAACAGGGTGGAATTCGATGAAGCATCATACGAGATCCGGGCCCTAAGAAGCCGGTTTGACCCACCTCGCAACGTGTTACCTCATACTCCTTCCACCACCCCGTCTCCTTGCTTTGCCTTCAACAGGGTGGAATTCGACGAAGCAGCATACGAGATCCGAGTCCTCAGAAGCCGCTTCGAATCGCCCCTCCTCCGCTACTCTTTCTCCTCCCTCGTCACCCCCACCACTGTGTTCGAGCGAGACATGGACACAGACAGGCAGGCTGCTAGGAAAGTCGACTGGGTGAGTGTGTGTGTGTGTGGTGGGTGTGGTGGGTGTATGAATGAATACATCATACTCTTCTCCTCCCTGGTCACTCCCACGACCGTGTTCCAACGAGCCATGGACACAGACAGGCAGGCTGCTAGGAAAATCGACTGGGTGAGTGTGCGTTGCAAGTGTGGTGGGTGTGTTTGTGTGTGTGGTGGGTTTGTTGGGTGTGTTGGGTGTGCCGGTTTGAGTCGCCCCTCCTCCGCTTCTCCTTCTCCTCCCTTGTCACCACCACCACTGTGTTCGAGCGAGACATGGACACAGACAGGCAGGCTGCGAGGAAAGTCGACTGGGTGAGTGTGGGTTGCAAGTGTGGTGGGTATCTGGGTGGGTGAGACCCCTGAATATGAGTGCGCCTTTTCTCCTCCCTCGTCACCCCCACCGCTGTGTTCGAGCGAGACATGGGCTCAGGCTAGGAAGGTGGACTGGGTGAGTGAGAAGTCGATTTTTGAGTCGACTAAAAAAATTAGTAGTATTAGTAACTGGGTGAGTGAGTTTAGGGTGTGGTGGGTGTGTGTGGGTGTGTGGGTGTGTGTGAGTGTGTGTGGGTGTGTGTGGGTGTGGTGGGTGTGTGTGTGTGTGTGTGGGAACTATTCCTGTACTTGTATGTACTTTTTATGTGATGGCATACTTCTTTATGCATCTTCTCCCCAACCCTCTTGATTTCTGCTTCCATTCCTCACTATCTCCCTCCCTTGCATTGCAGCTTGGGCCATCTTTTGACCCCTCGCTCTACTCCTCCCGCCGTCTCTTTGCCACAGCAGCAGACGGCACACAAGTTGCAACGAATCTCTTCAAGCATGTTCTCTCCGTCTCCCCATCTCCCCCCATCTCTCCCTTGCAGGTCAGTCCGTCGTTCGACCCCTCGCTCTACTCCTCTCGCCGTCACTTCGCCACGGCAGCAGATGGCACACAAGTTGCAACAAATCTCTTCAAGCATGTTCTCTCCGTCTCCCCATCTCCCCATCTCACCATCCCCCATCTCCCCCTATCTCTACCTTGCAGGTTGGTCCATCCTTTGACCCCTCGCTCTACTCCTCCCGCCGTCTCTTCGCCACCGCAAAAGATGGCACACAAGTGTCCATATCGCTCGTCCATCGCAACACCCCTGCCAATGTTGCCGGCGCTCCCAGCGTTTCTACTGATGCTGCTGCCTGCAGTGGGCCCCCTTGGCCCATGCTGCTCTACGCCTACGGTGCTTATGAGGTGAGGGTCGGTGCACAGCAGCAGCAGACGGCACTCAAGTGCCTATCTCGCTCGTCCATCGCTGCAGCGCTTGCAGTGCTGCCGGTGCTGCCAGCGACCCGCCTTGACCCATGCTGCTCTATGCCTACGGCGCATATGAGGTGAGTGGAATCTACTTGTACGGCGCGCGGTGAGAATCAATGCGCGGCAGCAGCAGCAGCAGCAGACGGCACTCAAGTGCCCATCTCACTCGTCCATCGCTGCAGCTCTTGCAGTGCTGCCAGTGCTCCCACTGACTCTCCTGATGCTGCTGCCTGGGACTATCAGTGGTACTTGCGATAGCCCATGTGAGGGGGGGGGCAGGGGCGACCGGGCGACCTCTTTCTCTCTCTTGAGAATTCTCAAAAAACATACGCTCTCTCTTTTCACCCCACCCTCCCTTCTGTAGGTGCCCCCGCGACTCTCTTTCTACCCCGATCGCTTCTCCCTGCTTGATCGAGGGGTGGCAGTGGCGATAGCGCATGTGAGGGGAAGAGGGGACTGGGAATCGACTTACCTCTTTCTCTCTTCTTTCCCCCCACCCTCCCTTCTGTAGGTGCCCTCACGCCTCTCTTTCTCCTCTAACCGTCTCTCCCTGCTCGATCGAGGGGTGGCAGTGGCGATAGCGCATGTGAGGGGAGGAGGCGACTGGGGTAGCATTGACGGATCGATTACCTCAATCCCTCTCTCCTGCCCCTCCTCCCACTCCCCTCCCCAGGTGCCCTCGCGCCTCTCTTTCTCCCCCGACCGTCTCTCCCTACTCGACCGAGGGATGGCGGTGGCTGTAGCGCATGTGAGGGGAGGAGGGGACTGGGACTATCAGTGGTACCTAGACGGGAAGCTTCTGAGAAAGCGCAACACGGTGTGGGATGTGATTGCGTGTGCCGAGCACCTGATCAAGGAAGGGTGAGTGAGGGAGGGAGTGAGTGAGTGAGTGAGTGAGTGAGGGAGGGAGTGAGTGAGTGAGTGAGTGAGGGAGTGAGTGAGTGAGTGAGTGAGTGAGGGAGGGAGTGAGTGAGGGAGGGAGTGAGTGAGTGGTGAGTGAGTGAGTCAAGTGCCTTGAAGGATCTTCTACGTGCCTCAAAGAGTGTGCGCTTGCCAGCCACAGTGTCTGATGGTGATTGCTAGTGCCGTGCACCTGATCAAGAAAGGGTGAGTGAGGGAGAGAAGGGAGGGTGTGATGATAAGCCACATGATGAGTGTTTTTTTTTTTTTTTTTTTTTTTTTTTTTTGAGTCGTCTCAAAGATTCACACATCACATTGTCAAAGAAGACGCTTGAAGGAAATCGGTGCGATGATAAGGGCGAGCGAGTGAGGGAGGGAAGGGAGGGAGGACGTGGCGGTGGTGCGTCCGAAACGGTGGTGTGGCACAATGCACACAAGCACAATGTGCCGCACTCAAACGTACCTGAAAGCGATGTTTTCTATAGAAACCGTTGTGTGCTTCGTGTGCATTTGTCGCTTGGTGGTCATTTGCCTGCCACCTTTCTAGGGTGCAGTTGCAAGAACCAGACCAGAAAATAAAAGCACTGTTGCCAGTGCTTACCCTTGGTATTATAAGGTCGCGAAAGAGGGTATATTGAGCATAAACGCACCAAAATACCTACATTTCGTTTGTTGTGTAAATGCGCCGAAATACGTACGGGCTGACCGAAAAAACAAATTGGGTTTGGGCCCGCAGTGTAGCAAACTCAAAGCTGGACTTGGCGGATTCGAGATGTCAACCTCAACTTCGAATTTCGAATTTCGAAGTCGATCCACAACCCCTCATGTTTACCGCTGAGCAACCCTCTCAACCCTGTCCATTCCCAATCCTTTCCAATCCAACTTTGTTCCGAGGAGTTGGCTTCTATGGTTGGGAACGACGACGAGCTTGATGCTCGTAGTTGTCGACTTAGTAGTCCTTAATGTCGACTCAGTTCTTAATGTCGACTAAGTTCTTAGTGTTGACCTATAATGTCGACTTCGTTCTTAAGCTCGACCTAATTCTAAATTATGTCGACCTGAGTCTTAACGACGTCAGGTAGAAAGAGGGGTGCGGAATGGGGGTTGTTGGTGCTTTGCGCCTCGCCCATCCCCACCTCGACATTTTTCCTGCCCTAAAAAACTCTAACCTGCCCGGGCCTGCAAATTCTGTGCGTACCGGAACCCCTACCGTGCAGCGTATCGCGTATATACGCTTGCGAATAAACGCTTTCGTATAAAACGCGATACGCGTATTTTCCAGCTTAGCTCCAGACCGATTGGCCCTGGAAGGCAGGTCAGCAGAGATCATTCCCGAGGGGGCAGCAGAAAACGAACGGCCGGATCTTCCTTTGTTCTCCTCTCTCTCATCTCACCGTCCATATGCCCATCCCTGCCCTCTCCCTGTCCATACCTCTCTCTACCCAGTCTCACCACTCCAGACCGATTGGCCCTGGAAGGCCGGTCAGCAGGGGGCATACCCGTGGGGGCAGCCGTGAACGAACGGCCGGATCTGTTTCGATCAGCCGTGGCTGGCGTGCCGTTCGTTGATGTGCTCTCCACCATGCTGGACGCCTCTCTGCATCTCACAATCACCGAATGGGAGGTGGGTGGGCTGGGGAGAGGGAGTGGGTGGGTGGGCCGTTGTCTTGTTGATTAGGCGCCTGGGCACCCTATAACCAGGCTGGCAGGCTGGCATACTCTTCGTTGATATGCTCTCCACCATGCTGGACGCTTCTCTGCATCTCACAATCACCGAATGGGAGGTGGGTTCAGTATCACTGGGAGGTGGATGGTTGGGCTGAGGAAGGTGGGATGGGCTAGTGAGTGGGAGGTATGTTTTGCTCAGTAAGTGGGAGTTGGGTGGTATACTGTTTTGCTGCATAGGCACTGTCCTCCTGCCCCATAACCACTCACTATCACTGAGGTGGGTTCAGCATCCCTTGCCACCACTCACTATCACTGAGCAGGAACGGGAGGTGTTTGGTGTTTGGGCTGTGGGAAGCGGGTAGGCTTGTGATTCCATATTTGAGGCGCCTAAAGAATGTGTGCAGTGGGAGGGGAGAGGGCATGTGAGATGAATCAAGAGTGCCGTTTGTTACGGTGCTCTCCTGACCTCTGCTCGATGCAACTTGTGTGTTGTGTTGTATGTGGTTCTGTGTGGTTGGCTGTGGTCCTGTGCGGCTGTGTGAGGTTGTGTGTGGTTGTGTGGTTGTGTGTGGTTGTGTGCGGTTATGTGTAACAAGCAGGAGTGGGGCAACCCCCAGGAGGAGCAGTACTATCACTACATCAAGTCGTATTCACCCGTGGATAATGTATCCCTCTCTATCATGCCTACATTTCATAAAACAAACGTGTTTTGCAAAACCACTTTTCTATCCCATTTTTTCTGTCATTTCCGTGCACGTGCGAACACGTTTCAACCTGAATCCCTGTATCAGAACAGCAGTCAATCATTACGCGCCTCTAACAGCAGTCCCTCTAACAGAAGGGTTTTGTTTTGACAGTTTCCTGAAACGCATTAGACATTTTCCGTCTTCCCCTTTCTCTTGCGTACGAGCGCTTTTCCTTTTGTAACCCACTTTCCTAGTTTTTCCCATCCTTTTGCCTCCTTTCACTCTCTGCTGCTAGTCTGCTGCCCCTCCTCCCCATTGCAGGTGAAGCCCCAGGCTTACCCCAACATACTTGCCACTGCTTTCCTTTCCTTTCTCCCCCTGTTGTTTTCACCTCCCCATCCCTCCCTCCCCTGTACCTACATTGCTGCCTCTCTCCTGCTGCTCCTCCTCCCCATTGCAGGTGAAGCCCCAGGCTTACCCCAACATCCTTGCCACTGCCTCGCTCCATGGTAAGAGGATCTCTTTCATAAGCAGCCTCAATAAGACATTAACTCTATAACACACTGAAGTCGTCCTCTATAGGCCTAAAATAAGGCTCATTTTTTTCCCCCACGGTAGTATATCTTAGGTAATGTGTGGGGCGTGATGAGGCGATTTTTGAGTCGACTCAAAATTCCCCCACGGTAGTATATCTTAGGTAATGTGTGGGACGTTATCCGGCCAGCCAATTAGGTGGCGAGGCTGTGAGAGCAGTTACACGTCCACATGTGATTTCTCGCACACTTCATTCCTCGCCCTCCTCCCGCCCTCCTCCCGCCCTCCTCCCGCCCTCCTCCCGCCCTCCTCCCTCCCGCCTCCCGCCCTCCTCCCTCCCACCTCCCGCCCTCCTCCCTCCCGCCTCCCGCCCTCCTCCCTCCTTCTCTTGCTTGTTGTCTTCCACCAATCACAGACCAGAGAGTGAACTACTGGGAGCCAGCCAAGTGGGTTGCGAGGCTGAGAGACGCGAATACAAGCAGTGACTCGGTGGTGCTGCTGCGTTGTGAGATGGACGCGGGGCACTTCAGCAAAACAGGGAGGTGCGTGAGGGAGTGAGCGAATGGGTGAGGGAGGGAGGGAGGGAGGGGGTGAATGAGGGAGAGAGAGCGAGTGAGACGCCAACACCAGCAGTGACTCGGCGGTGCTGCTGTGTTGTGAAATGGGCGCTGGGCACTTCAGCAAGGGGAGGTGACTGAGTGAGGGAGAGAGGGAGGGAGCGAGTGAGTGAATGAGTAAAGGAAGGTTTTATAACTGAAAGCATGTCGTATGACCACTACAAGCTGCTATTCACCACTGAGAATACTCAAACGTGAACACAACCAACCAAGCTTGTCCGTGTTTTGCCCGTCCATTATGCAGGTTCGATCGCCTTGCTGACGTGGCGCTCCGCTATGCCTTCATTCTCTACACGCTTGGCGTGCACTGATTGGCTCTCTCCCTTTTGCCTTCTTGTGACTCGTGACATGGATGGAGCTTCGTTATTCTTAGACACCTCAAAAGCCACCAAGTGACTTTTGAGTCCACTCAGGAAGTCACCTGATTGGTTATCCCTCTTTCGCCTTTCTTGGAACATGATGTGAAGCTTCCTTGTGAAGTGAAGCCTTCAATAAAGGGGGTCTATTCTTGAGGCACTTAAATAATGCCAAATTCGGGGCCTAATTTCTCCTTTGAGCTGGTATACACGGTGATTCCTATCTTATTAGTGCATACACGAGGAATTCTTTGGTGAGTTGAGAGATCCCATGTTGTAACTGCGATCTAGCCTCCCAGCATGAGTGATATTGCTATCGAGAGAACTGTTGCAGGAATGAAGAATGACTAGCAACACGGAGATAGAAGTATGAAACCCTAACTGGGGTTGTGCCCTATATTGAGCACCTCATTGTAGTCTAGCAGAACTAAGAACATACAAATATGTTTTGACACACCCCCCTAGGCAAAGTGAGGGATAGCCAACACAACAAACGGTCACAAGACCAGTCAGGCAAGAGAACAAAACAATGCAAAGCCCAGGGTGGATCTCAAGATCACCACTCATTCTGAGCACAAGCAAGCGGCCACAAGGCCACTTCACATACAGAGTTATAATAGAAAGGCAGTACACTGATCGCAACCTAGCAAGAGAAAACATGCAGGTATAAATATATATACATATATATGTATATCAGTGTACAACAAGTGCAAGATCAAGAGTTAAGCAGGTGAGGCAGAACGGGCAGAAACCCAAGAGCAGTGCAAAAACGCAGATGATCACCGGACCCGAGGGCCTTGGTGAAGACATCAGCAGTGTTGGCCCGAGAGGCCACGAAGGAAAGGCGAAGTTGACCACGCTGCTGCAGCTCTCGAGCAAGAAAGTAGCGAAGAGCAATGTGCTTGATTCTGTGCTCCAGTCTCTGCTCCTGACATAAGGCAAGCATGGCATTGTTTTCTACGTACAGTACTGGAGGAGAACGAGGCCGCTCCCCCAAGTCGGTCAGCAGGTAGGTAAGCCAGCGTAGCTCCTGTGCAGTCATAGCCCCAGCGTAGATCTCGGCCTCATAGCTGGAACCAAGCACAGAAGAAGAACGAGTGGACCTCCACGAGACAGAACCAGAGCCAAGACTGAAGGTGTCACACTGGGACAAACGCTGAGTTGCCTGGTCGTCGGCCCAAGAAGCGTCGGAGTGTCCTGTGAGTACCACTGAACCCCGTCCACCAAGCACAAGCCCCATGCCCGATGTACTGCACAAGTAACGCAGTACCCTCTTCACAGCAACCCAGTGCACCTTTCGGTGCCTGCCCGGAGCCACGTAACGAGCCAGGAGGATGAGAGGGTACACGAGGTCAGGTCGTGTGCACGTGATCAGGTACATGAGGCAACCCACAAGCTCTGGAAACGGACCACTCGGCTCTACGGACTCGTCCGAAGATGGAGGTGAGAGCGAGTGGCTAGTAGGCAGAGGAGTGGGCTGTGGCGAGGAGTACTGGAAGCCGAAGCGCTGAAGGACCTGGTGCACCATGTGTGACTGAGTAAGGGTGATGGTGCGTCGTGCTCTGTCCCGGGTGATCTGCAAGCCAAGATAGCTACGCAACTCACCCAGGTCAGTGCAGGTGTGTCACTGCAGGTCAGTGCCGCTCCGCCTTCACTAGGGCTAGCGCCTCAGTGTCAGCAGTAGCAAAAACCAAGTCGTCGACGTACACGAGAACGTAGAACAGCTGCCGAGAAGTGTCGGTGCGTAGAAACAGCGTCGGGTCGGCAGAGGAAGGAGCAAACCCAAGAGCCGCAAGTGTCGTCCTCAGTGTGTCGTGCCACTCACGAGACGCCTGGCGGAGACCGTAGACTAGCCGCCGGAGGCTCCACTGGGTACCCGCAGGAAACAACCCAGTGAAGCCAGGTAGGCAGTGCAGCCATATCTCCTCGTGAAGGCTGCCCTGCAAGAAAGTTGTGAGAAGTCGAAAGAGTGCAGCTCGTAGTCACGCTGTGGGGTGGGGTCATCTTCGGGGTGGGGGAGAAGGTCTGGAAGAAGTCGACCCCCTGTCGCTGACTGGAGCCTCGAGCAACGTAACGCGCCTTGAAGGCAGGCGGAGAACCCGGCGGCCGCTTCACTCTGAAAATCAACATGCCATCGACTATGTTCGCCCCAGGAGGAGGAACCTCGTCGACGTAGGTGCCTGTGGACTTCCAGGAAGCCATCTCTGCGTCCATGGCTATCTGCCACTAAGAGGAGTACTAGGAGGAGTACCCTCCTGGGAAGGTAGGAAGAGCCAACTCGCCGCCCTGTCCCCTTTGTTTCCCTCCCCTTCCCCCCTACTAGTTCCCCTCCAACTCGCCTCCACCTCTCATCATCCAAACCCCCAACACCCTTCCCCTCCCCTCTTTCATCCCCTCTTTCCACCCTCTGCATCCCCCCTCCCCCCCCCTTGCCTGTCAGCATACCCCAGTGATAGACTTTTGAAACGTCTCAACAGCCGTCTTTCCTCCCCTCCTCCCCCCACTTCCCCTCTCTCCCCATTTCCCTCCTCTCCTCCCCCAGCTGTCATCACCATCACCAGATTCGCGCCGTGTCTCTACTACAGCCAATATCCCCCCCCCCTTGCTGCGCCAGCAGTGGCAGTGGTAGACTTTTGAGACGTCTCAAAAGCCCTCTTTCCTTCCCCCTTCCCTTTCCCAACTGTCCTGACTAGATCCACACCGTGTCTCTGCAACCGTCAACGTTTCCCCCCTTGCTGCGTCAGCAAGCGCCAGTGCCAGCTCAGACCAAGATCCGCAAGAAATATCAAACTTCTTCACACCCGAACCAGACCCTGTCGGGCAGTCTAGGAAAGTTTCTGAGCTGACCGGCGCGGGCAGTCAAGGGGAGTCTGCTATGGCGAATGATGCGGGTTCTAGCGCGTTTTGGGAGCGTGCTAAGGAAATAAAGCCTCCCATGTAAGTGCTGAAGAAATAAAGGCTCCCAGAATGTAGGCCCTCTTCACAGTGTGCATTCTTTCAAATGCGAATGATGGGGGTTCTAGCGCGTTTTGGAAGCGTGCAAAAGAAATAAATGCTCCCATGTAAGTGCTCTTCATAGAGTGCGTGCATTTCTTTCCTTCATAGGCGAATGATGGGGGTTCTAGCGTGCTATAATGGGGATTTTGAAGCGTTTTAAGTGATAAAGGCTCCCAGTAAGTGCTTTTGTCCTCCTCTCCGCCCCATATCCCCTTCCTCACTCCCTCCCTCCCTCCCTCCCTCCCTCCCTCCCCTCTCCAGTTCACTCTCTCTCGTCCTCTCCTCCTCCCTATTCCCCGGCGCTCCCGCGCTCATCCTCTCTCTCCCTCTCCCCTCCTCCCTCCGTCCTCCCCCTCCCCGCTCCCCCTCCCCGCTCCCCCTCCCTGCTCCCCCTCCCCGCTCCCCCTCCGCCCATCAGGTGCGTCAAGGTGCCCGTCTCCTCCCCCCCAAATGTTTGGGGACGTGCCGGACGACCCGCACCACTGGCTCAGGGACGAGAGGCGCAAAGAGAACACAACTGTGCTCTGTGTAATCCCCTCTCCGCCTCAGCTCTCCCCTCCCCTTCCCCCTCCACCTCCGCCTCTCCCTCCCCCTTCCCCAATCAGGTGCGCCAAGGTGCCATTCTCCTTCCCCTCAATATTCGGGGAGGTGCGAGACGAACCCCACCACTGGCTCTGTAACCCCCCTCACTGCTTCTGCTCTTTTCTCCCCACTCCCCCTCTCCCTCTGCTCTCCGCCCTCCCCTGCCGCTCCCCCTGCTCTTCCCACCATCAAGTGCGCCAAGGTGCCCTTCTCGTTCCCCCCGATGTCCGGAGACGTGTGAGACAACCCCAACCACTGGCCCAGGCACGAGAAGACCCTCACCCGCTGCTCTCCCCCTGCCTCTCCCGCCTCCTCCCCGCTTCCGGCTCCCCCTTTCTCCCTGCGCCCATCAGGTGCGCCAAGGTGCCCTTCTCGTTCCCCCCGATGTACGGAGACGTGTGAGACAACCCCAACCACTGGCCCAGGCACGAGAAGACCCTCACCCGCTGCTCTCCCCCTGCCTCTCCTGCCTCCTCCCCGCTTCCCGCTCCCCCTTTCTCCCTGCGCCCATCAGGTGCGTCAAGGCGCCCTTCTCGTTCCCCCCGATGTTCGGAGACGTGCCGGATGACCCCCACCACTGGCCCAGGGACGAGAGGCGCCCTCACCTTCTGCTCTCCCCCAATCCCCCTGCCTCTCCCGTCCCTCTCCCCCTCCCCCTCCCCCTCCCCTTCCCCTCCCCCTCCCCTTTCCCCACACCAGGTGCGCCAAGGTGCCATTCTCTTTCCCCCCAATGTTTGGGGACGTGCGGGACGACCCCCACCACTGGCTGAGAGACGAGAGGCGCAGGAATCCGGAGGTCCTGGCGCATTTGGCGGCAGAAAACGCGCTCACAGACGCTCTATTGCCTTCATGTAGTGACGGGAACATGGGGTGTACGGGGATGAAAGGAGAAAGGGAAGGAGGGGGAGAGAGAGAGGGAGTGTCCCTGCGCGTGCTGCTAGAAGGGGAGATGAAAGCGCGAGTGAAGCAGGAGGACAGGAGCGTTCCTTTGAGGAAGGGTGATTTCTGGTACTACACCCGAGAGGAGGAGGGTAAACAGTATCCCATCCACTGCAGGAGAGCAGCTGCAGACTCTACAGCAGCAGGCAACAGCAGCAGCTGCAGCAGCAGCAGCAGGGAAGGAATGAGTGGATCAAAGCAGGAGAAGCAGGCAGAGGGGGGAGAACTTACCTTTGAACAGAGAGATTATTTCTCCGAGTGCATGGATGAAGGGGTTCCAGAGGAGATAGTTTTAGACGAGAACAGGGAGGCGGAGGGGCGAAGCTTTTTCCACATTGACAGTGTTGTTGTGAGTCCGAACCATGGGTTTGTGGCGTATAGTCTCGATACGAGGGGGGACGAGAGGTACTCTATCCATGTCCGGCCTATCTGCTCGGGTTCTGCTGCTGCTGCTGCTGCTGCTGCTGCTGCTGCTGCTTCTGCTGCTGCTTCAGCAATACTCTCGTCTGATGTGAGTGAAGCTTCAGTGGGGAAATTGTCAGTGTCAGCTGAGTCAGCAGCAGGAGCGTCAGAAGGAGCAGAACGAGTGCCAGAAGCAGCAGCATTGAGGTCAGCTGGGTCCCGAACAGTACCAGCAGCAGCAGAAAGATTAACGCCAGTAACACCAGTAACACCTGTAACACCTGTAACAGAAGCAGAGGGAACAGAAGCAGATACGGACGTCATTACATCAGAGTTTGGAACAAGCGGAGAGGTGTGCTGGGCAGAAGATAACCAAACCCTCTTCTACGTCGCTCAGGACGAAAAGGACCGCCCGTGCTCCGTCATGCGCCACGTCACCGGCACGCCGGTGTCGCAGGACGCGTGCGTCTTTTTCGAAAAGGACGAGGCGTTCGACGTGGGGATTCACCGTGCGTCGTCGGACCGATTCATTATAATCACGTGTGGGTCGGCTGTGACTTCGTTTCTGCTGGTTATCGATGTTCAGCGGCCGTTTGACCCCCCGAGGCAGTTGGTGCCGAGAGTGCATGTGAGTATTAGAGCAGCAAACAATCTGAGTAGCGTTTAGAGCAATGCACCTGCATGTGCTGCTGCAGATCTCGTTGTGTTGGAGGTTCATTATAGTCACGTTTTGAGACGTCTCAAAACACTATTTCAAACACCTCGTTGTGCTGGAGGTTCATTATAGTCACGTACGGGTCGGCTGTGACGTCCTTTCTGCTGGTGATTGACATTCAAAGGCCATTCGACCCTCCGAGACAACTCGTGCCAAGAGAGCATGTGAGTATTACAGCAGTGCCCCCTGCATAGGCTTCTGTTGCATAGGGTGGTTTGTGCGTGGTGTGTGGATCGGCTGTGACGTCCTTTCTGCTGGCGATTGACGTTCAAAGGCCGTTCGACCTTCCTAGACAACTCGTCCCGAGAGTGCATGTGAGTACGATTTTTGAGGCGCCTCAAAATTTTTGAGGCGCCTCAAAAATCGTCTATTTTTGAGGCGCCTCAAAAATCGTCTATTTTTGAGGCGCCTAAAAAATCGTCTAAGTTCACGCGGATTTTATATGGGGAATGTCTACATTGCTTGGAGGTGTGCACGTAACTTACAAAAGTTACTCGTGCGAGCGAAAGTTCCAAGGCTTATCGATAGCCCTGACGAAGACACCACAGAAGGCTGACACTTGTAACCTCGGGTTTTTACCCATTGCTGTGTTGGCGAATGCCCATTGTTAGGCAATCTGGGTAGTTGGGAACTTTGATTTCTGTTCGCGGTGTGGGTTAGTACTTAGCTCATACCAGACTGTAGATCTCGTTGTGTTCAGAAGCACTGATGAAGGCTTGACGGGTTTCTCCCCGCCTTGCCGAAACATGTTTGCGACCTGTTCTCTTTGAGTGAATACAGTTTCTTGCTTTCAGAATTCTCGTAGCAAGGGTTTTGTAACTCTCTTTCTTTTCTTGCTAAAAGCTTTCCTTAGTACTGCCGCTCTTCCAAACCATGAGTAACGACGACCCGTGGGACTTCGATTGGAATCCATCCGACGAGGAAGAAGCCAGTACAGGGAATCGCAGTTCGGTTAAGAGGTCTCGAGGTGAGGGTGGATCGTCACGCGCTGGAAGGAGAGCTCGTTCAGCATCCGGAGCGCGTGCTAAGATTCCCCCTCTGGCACTCACACTCGAGCCCACGACATCTAACAAGCAAGCTGAAGATCCTCTCCCCGGACCTTCTGGAAGTCGTCCCGTCATGTCGGACCCGGTCGACAATTCTCCAATCCCGGAACTTTTCAAGGGGTGGACGGCGTCGTCTGTAAAGGGTTTTCGCGACGATTTCAAGGATCTGCTTAAGGCGAAAAGCAAACTCAAGAAGATGAAGGAACTTGACCGTCAAGGCGTGATTCTCCACAGCATCCGCACGAAGACCGTGGAGTTCCAGACGAAGTTTGCCTCTGTCAAGGAGAAATCTGCTGCGTCCGTCTCAGAGATTCACTTGGCGAATCAAAAGCGGCTGCAAGCGGATTTTATCGCCTCGGAAGCACTGGAGATTGAAGAACTTCAGAAGGCGGTGGACTCGCACGTCGTCGCTCTAGCATCGAGGATGGAAGAATACATCAAGAGCCTGAGTGCTGACCCCGACTTGGTTGTGTCTGACGCCGCCAAGGAGAAATTCCGTGTTTTCAAGGGGCGTTGTAACGAAAAGGCGAATTCTGACATCCAGACCGCAAGGGATGAGATTGTCATCCGTGAGCTCGATCGACAGAACAAGGCTGCCGCCGAAGAGTTGAAGAAAGCAGCTGCGTCCGAGGAGGTGCAGGAAATGGAAGTGGAAGCTGGGGTTGGAGAGATCATGAATCAGCACGCGAAGCGGATTGAAGACAAGATTCGGAGGGAGATGATTCCGAAGATTGAGGCCAATCTGATGAAGAAGCTGCTGAAAAATCTTTCGTTGGGAAAACAGGATTCCCCCCAGGCTCCTGCTGCTGACGCGAAGCCGAAGAATGCCCCAGCCGGAAAACCGATGCAAACTACTCCGATGGAAAAGGAGCGCCACTCAGGGAGTACGGCCGGGAATTCCAAGCCGAAAAAGAAGCGCGGGGGTAAGAAGAAGAAGAAGGACGGCACCCAGGACCAGCAGGCGAAAGGCCAGGCAGCAGACGTGAAGGCCAAGGGACCAAAAAAACGGCGGAGGCGGCCCAGGAAAAGGGCCGCACAAGAACTAACGAGCCATGATCTGGCGCTCCGCTGGTTCGGACAGCTGACAGTACGACAATCTCAGCTCGGATCCGGAACCGGGGAGTTCACAATCTCAGCTCTCGACTCTTATCTTCGGACGAGAAGAAGGGGCTGGGTTTGGGTCTGAAGTTCATCCCAACGCCTGCCGTTTCCCTTTCTGGCGACGTGGAGCTTAACACGCTACTTCGCCAGATTTCGCTTCATTTTTTCTTCAAGGATTCGGACAACCTGAAAGGGAACCCGAGATTTCGTGTGCGGAACCCCGGATGGCTGCCCGAGTGGAACGACATTCCGGAGCAGGTCTTCAAGGACTCGTTTGCTGACTTGTCCTTCCTGTTGAAGGCTTCCCGCCCCATCCGCCACTGGAACATTTCGAACGGTGTTAGACGGGCGCTGCGCTCCATCGCTACAGATCGCAACGTGGTGGTGAAACCTGCTGATAAGAACGTGGGGATTACTGTGTTGGATCGGAGCACCTACACCCGTCTCTGTCTGGAGCATCTTGACGACGCGGCTACTTACGCTCCGTGCCTCCACAATCCTACCGTCGAAGTTGTGCAGAAACTACGTGATCTGAAGAGTGTGTGGGGACCTGCTTTTCCAGAGAGTCTGTGGAAATACTTCTTTGACAAGCCTCGCGGAGGTTGGCGGCCGGCGGCGTTCTACATTCTTCTGAAACTGCATAAGAAGAAGCTTGCGGGGCGGCCCATAGCTGCTTCACATTCATGGGTGACTTCCAATGTTAGCCGATGGTTGGATGCTGAATTACGGCCGCTGGTTCTTAAACAAACGACTTACCTACGCGACTCCCTTTCGCTGCTGCTTATGCTGGAGAAAACTGCCTTTCCGAACGGGATTCTTCTAGCTACGTACGATGTGACTTCGCTGTACCCCAGTATACCACTGCGGCGAGGACTCGATGCGATCAGCAGCTTACTTCATCGAGAAAGACATTTGAATGCTCTTCCAGTCATGGCCCTGCTGGAGTGGGTCATGATGAACTCCTACGTGGAGTTCGACAGCCAAATCTTTCTTCAAACTCAAGGGACGGCCATGGGAACTCCTGCGGCTGTCTGCTTTGCGGTACTCTTCATGAGCTGGCTGGACGAGATGCTGACAAGGAGGTGGTCTGGGACGATTCCGTTGTGCCACGTGCGATACATCGACGATGGGCTGATCATTTGGCCCGGATCAAGGGGGGAGCTGGAGGAGTACCTGAATACCTTCAACTCGCTTGACCCCAACATCAAACTCACGTGGCAGATCTCAGACAGTTCGGCTGATTTTCTGGATATGGTCATCTTCAAGGGGCCACGCTTCGCCGAACAGGGTACCTTGGATCTGAAAACTTTTCAGAAACCGATTAATAAGTACCTGTACCTGCCTTTTTCTTCATTCCACCCCCGACATTGCAAGACGGGTTTTGTAAGGGCTGAACTGAAGCGGTATCTGTTACGCTCGACATCTGCCCCAACCTTTCTAGCTTCTAAGCGTGCTTTCTTCCAGCGGCTTAGAGATCGGGGTTACCCTGCTGATTTTCTCACACCCATTTTCCATAGTGTTCTCTTCAGGCAACGCCCGCTCCTTCTAGAGCAAACTGAAGCTCGCCAAGCACACCGACTTTCATCCCCACCTGAACGCGGCCCCCTGGTCTTGAAGACACTGTTCACTCCTGTGACAGCTCGTCTCAGGCTGGGGGTCCTTTTGAGGCGCCTAAAAAATCGTCTAAGTTCACGCGGATTTTATATGGGGAATGTCTACATTGCTTGGAGGTGTGCACGTAACTTACAAAAGTTACTCGTGCGAGCGAAAGTTCCAAGGCTTATCGATAGCCCTGACGAAGACACCACAGAAGGCTGACACTTGTAACCTCGGGTTTTTACCCATTGCTGTGTTGGCGAATGCCCATTGTTAGGCAATCTGGGTAGTTGGGAACTTTGATTTCTGTTCGCGGTGTGGGTTAGTACTTAGCTCATACCAGACTGTAGATCTCGTTGTGTTCAGAAGCACTGATGAAGGCTTGACGGGTTTCTCCCCGCCTTGCCGAAACATGTTTGCGACCTGTTCTCTTTGAGTGAATACAGTTTCTTGCTTTCAGAATTCTCGTAGCAAGGGTTTTGTAACTCTCTTTCTTTTCTTGCTAAAAGCTTTCCTTAGTACTGCCGCTCTTCCAAACCATGAGTAACAAAGGCCGTTCGACCTTCCCAGACAACTCGTCCCGAGAGTGCATGTGAGTACGACCTGCATAGGCTGCTGCTGCATAAGGTGGTGTGGTGGTGTGTGGGTCGGCTGTGACTTCGATTTTGCTGGCAATCGATGTTCAACGGCCATTCGACCCTCCCAGGCAATTTGTGCCAAGAGGGCATGTGAGTACTAGCGCAGGGCATGTGAGTAATAGCGCAGGGCATGTGAGTAATAGCGCAGGGCATGTGAGTAATAGCGCAGGGCATGTGAGTAATAGCGCAGGGCATGTGAGTAATAGCGCAGGGCATGTGAGTAATAGCGCAGGGCATGTGAGTAATAGCGCAGGGCATGTGAGTAATAGCGCAGGGCATGTGAGTAATAGCGCAGGGCATGTGAGTAATAGCGCAGGGCATGTGAGTAATAGCGCAGGGCATGTGAGTAATAGCGCAGGGCATGTGAGTAATAGCGCAGGGCATGTGAGTAATAGCGCAGGGCATGTGAGTAATAGCGCAGGGCATGTGAGTAATAGCGCAGGGCATGTGAGTAATAGCGCAGGGCATGTGAGTAATAGCGCAGGGCATGTGAGTACTAGCGCATGGCATGTGAGTAATAGCGCAGGGCATGTGAGTTCTAGCGCAGGGCATGTGAGTACTAGCGCAGGGCATGTGGCTACACGTGCGGGTCAGCTGTGACTTCGTTTCTGCTGGCGATTGACGTTCAAAGGCCGTTCGACCCTCCGAGGCAACTCGTCTTGAAAGTGCATGTGATGTGAGTAGTGGTAGACTGAATTGTGCCGCTTGTGTGGGCTGCTGCACTGGGTGTTGTGCTGATCTGGTGTTGTTGCATACACCGCTCGACCCTCTTCCCCTTCTAGTTTCCTTTCTCCACTTACCTCTGATCTGATCATCACTCTCAACCCATCTCCACCCTCTTGTCTTATCTCTCCCGTTCTCCCCCTTTCAGAACGTGGAGGTGTATGGAGATCACAGCGCGTTGCACTTCTTCCTCCTCCGCCGCTCCCCCCCCCTCTGGAACTCGGAGCTCCTCACCACATGGGACTCCTCAAATATCTTTTCCCCCCCACCCCTCCCCCATCGCCTTCCTTAGAACGTGGAGGTGTATGGAGACCACAGCGGCTCGTGCTTCTTCCTCCTCCGCCGCTCCGATCAGATGCGAAACTCGCAGCTCCTCACGCTGCCTGTTGCTGACGCTGCTGATGCTACTCCTACTGCTGCTACTGCTGCTGCTGCTGCTGCTGCAGCTGAGGCTGTAGAGCCCTCAGTGGTGCTCCCGCATGATCCCAGGTGAGCCAGACAGACAGATCACAGCAGGTGGCACTTCTTCCCCCTCCGACCCTCCGCGCTCCTCTGGAACTCCGAGCTCCTCTCGCTGCCTGTTGCTGATGCCGCTGCCACTGCTGCTGCTGATGCTGCTACTGCTGCATCTGAGGCTGTAGAACCCTCGTTGGTTCTCCCACATGATCCCAGGTGAGCCAGACAGACAGATCACAGCAGGTGGCACTTCTTCCCCCTCCGACCCTCCGCGCTCCTCTGGAACTCCGAGCTCCTCTCGCTGCCTTTTGCTGATGCCGCTGCCACTGCTACTGCTGATGCCGCTGCCACTGCTGCTGCTGATGCCGCTACTGCTGCTGCTGATGCCGCTACTGCTGCATCTGAGGCTGTAGAACCCTCGTTGGTTCTCCTACATGATCCCAGGTGAGTCAGACAGACAGATCACAGCAGGTGGCACTTCTTCCCCCTCCGACCCTCCGCGCTCCTCTGGAACTCCGAGCTCCTCTCTCTGCCTGTTGCTGATGCCGCTGCCACTGCTGCTGCTGATGCCGCTACTGCTGCATCTGAGGCTGTAGAACCCTCGTTGGTTCTCCCACATGATCCCAGGTGAGCCAGACAGACCGACCACAGCAGGTCGCACTTCTTCCTCCTCCGCCGCTCCGACCAACTGCGGAACTCCGAGCTCCTTGCCGTGCCTGCTTCAGAAGATGCTGATGTGGAGGGATCTCAGCCGTTGGTGCTGCTGCCGCATGACCCCAGGTGGGACCTTAAACCTTAAACCCTAAACCCTAGCCCCCCTACTGTGAAGCTCCAATTAGTGGCGGCCTTTATGTGGGTTTTGAGATGTAAACCCCTAACCCTAAGCCCTGAAATCGGTCTTTCTTTGTCCTTGTACCTTTTATTGTATTTTTTCACCCCCCAGTGTGAAGCTCCAATCAGTGACAGCCTTCAAGCGCCACGTGGTCGTGTTTGAGAGGGTGAAGGGGCTCCAACGGATCAGATCCATCCCCTTGCGATCCGACGGCTCTCCTGCACCTGAAGCTGCCAAACTGTAAGCTTCTAACCGAAGCATGAATATGCTATTCCTTGCCTTCCACCCTCATAGTGAGCTAGATGCTTCCCATTTATTTCCCATGTGTCTTGCAAGTTGCACCCACTTATTTCCCTTCCCTCGTGCTCCTTGGCTTGCATGTGAATGCGTTTGGCTGATTGGTGAAGGAAATCGAATCAACACACAAATTGCGCCCCGCCCCTTCTTCCTTCCTCCTCCCCCACCTTTTCCCTCTCGCGCCTTTCAACAGGGTGGAATTCGACGAAGCAGGATACGAGATCTGGGCCCTCAGAAGCCGCCTTAGTTGATTCAAAAGCCACCAGCGCAATCTAAAGCCCCTTCTCCCTCCTCCTCCCCCACCTTTTCCCTCTCGCGCCTTGAACAGGGTGGAATTCGATGAAGCATCATACGAGATCCGGGCCCTAAGAAGCCGGTTTGACCCACCTCGCAACGTGTTACCTCATACTCCTTCCACCACCCCGTCTCCTTGCTTTGCCTTCAACAGGGTGGAATTCGACGAAGCAGCATACGAGATCCGAGTCCTCAGAAGCCGCTTCGAATCGCCCCTCCTCCGCTACTCTTTCTCCTCCCTCGTCACCCCCACCACTGTGTTCGAGCGAGACATGGACACAGACAGGCAGGCTGCTAGGAAAGTCGACTGGGTGAGTGTGTGTGTGTGTGGTGGGTGTGGTGGGTGTATGAATGAATACATCATACTCTTCTCCTCCCTGGTCACTCCCACGACCGTGTTCCAACGAGCCATGGACACAGACAGGCAGGCTGCTAGGAAAATCGACTGGGTGAGTGTGCGTTGCAAGTGTGGTGGGTGTGTTTGTGTGTGTGGTGGGTTTGTTGGGTGTGTTGGGTGTGCCGGTTTGAGTCGCCCCTCCTCCGCTTCTCCTTCTCCTCCCTTGTCACCACCACCACTGTGTTCGAGCGAGACATGGACACAGACAGGCAGGCTGCGAGGAAAGTCGACTGGGTGAGTGTGGGTTGCAAGTGTGGTGGGTATCTGGGTGGGTGAGACCCCTGAATATGAGTGCGCCTTTTCTCCTCCCTCGTCACCCCCACCGCTGTGTTCGAGCGAGACATGGGCTCAGGCTAGGAAGGTGGACTGGGTGAGTGAGAAGTCGATTTTTGAGTCGACTAAAAAAATTAGTAGTATTAGTAACTGGGTGAGTGAGTTTAGGGTGTGGTGGGTGTGTGTGGGTGTGTGGGTGTGTGTGAGTGTGTGTGGGTGTGTGTGGGTGTGGTGGGTGTGTGTGTGTGTGTGTGGGAACTATTCCTGTACTTGTATGTACTTTTTATGTGATGGCATACTTCTTTATGCATCTTCTCCCCAACCCTCTTGATTTCTGCTTCCATTCCTCACTATCTCCCTCCCTTGCATTGCAGCTTGGGCCATCTTTTGACCCCTCGCTCTACTCCTCCCGCCGTCTCTTTGCCACAGCAGCAGACGGCACACAAGTTGCAACGAATCTCTTCAAGCATGTTCTCTCCGTCTCCCCATCTCCCCCCATCTCTCCCTTGCAGGTCAGTCCGTCGTTCGACCCCTCGCTCTACTCCTCTCGCCGTCACTTCGCCACGGCAGCAGATGGCACACAAGTTGCAACAAATCTCTTCAAGCATGTTCTCTCCGTCTCCCCATCTCCCCATCTCACCATCCCCCATCTCCCCCTATCTCTACCTTGCAGGTTGGTCCATCCTTTGACCCCTCGCTCTACTCCTCCCGCCGTCTCTTCGCCACCGCAAAAGATGGCACACAAGTGTCCATATCGCTCGTCCATCGCAACACCCCTGCCAATGTTGCCGGCGCTCCCAGCGTTTCTACTGATGCTGCTGCCTGCAGTGGGCCCCCTTGGCCCATGCTGCTCTACGCCTACGGTGCTTATGAGGTGAGGGTCGGTGCACAGCAGCAGCAGACGGCACTCAAGTGCCTATCTCGCTCGTCCATCGCTGCAGCGCTTGCAGTGCTGCCGGTGCTGCCAGCGACCCGCCTTGACCCATGCTGCTCTATGCCTACGGCGCATATGAGGTGAGTGGAATCTACTTGTACGGCGCGCGGTGAGAATCAATGCGCGGCAGCAGCAGCAGCAGCAGACGGCACTCAAGTGCCCATCTCACTCGTCCATCGCTGCAGCTCTTGCAGTGCTGCCAGTGCTCCCACTGACTCTCCTGATGCTGCTGCCTGGGACTATCAGTGGTACTTGCGATAGCCCATGTGAGGGGGGGGCAGGGGCGACCGGGCGACCTCTTTCTCTCTCTTGAGAATTCTCAAAAAACATACGCTCTCTCTTTTCACCCCACCCTCCCTTCTGTAGGTGCCCCCGCGACTCTCTTTCTACCCCGATCGCTTCTCCCTGCTTGATCGAGGGGTGGCAGTGGCGATAGCGCATGTGAGGGGAAGAGGGGACTGGGAATCGACTTACCTCTTTCTCTCTTCTTTCCCCCCACCCTCCCTTCTGTAGGTGCCCTCACGCCTCTCTTTCTCCTCTAACCGTCTCTCCCTGCTCGATCGAGGGGTGGCAGTGGCGATAGCGCATGTGAGGGGAGGAGGCGACTGGGGTAGCATTGACGGATCGATTACCTCAATCCCTCTCTCCTGCCCCTCCTCCCACTCCCCTCCCCAGGTGCCCTCGCGCCTCTCTTTCTCCCCCGACCGTCTCTCCCTACTCGACCGAGGGATGGCGGTGGCTGTAGCGCATGTGAGGGGAGGAGGGGACTGGGACTATCAGTGGTACCTAGACGGGAAGCTTCTGAGAAAGCGCAACACGGTGTGGGATGTGATTGCGTGTGCCGAGCACCTGATCAAGGAAGGGTGAGTGAGGGAGGGAGTGAGTGAGTGAGTGAGTGAGTGAGGGAGGGAGTGAGTGAGTGAGTGAGTGAGGGAGTGAGTGAGTGAGTGAGTGAGTGAGGGAGGGAGTGAGTGAGGGAGGGAGTGAGTGAGTGGTGAGTGAGTGAGTCAAGTGCCTTGAAGGATCTTCTACGTGCCTCAAAGAGTGTGCGCTTGCCAGCCACAGTGTCTGATGGTGATTGCTAGTGCCGTGCACCTGATCAAGAAAGGGTGAGTGAGGGAGAGAAGGGAGGGTGTGATGATAAGCCACATGATGAGTGTTTTTTTTTTTTTTTTTTTTTTTTTTTTTTTGAGTCGTCTCAAAGATTCACACATCACATTGTCAAAGAAGACGCTTGAAGGAAATCGGTGCGATGATAAGGGCGAGCGAGTGAGGGAGGGAAGGGAGGGAGGACGTGGCGGTGGTGCGTCCGAAACGGTGGTGTGGCACAATGCACACAAGCACAATGTGCCGCACTCAAACGTACCTGAAAGCGATGTTTTCTATAGAAACCGTTGTGTGCTTCGTGTGCATTTGTCGCTTGGTGGTCATTTGCCTGCCACCTTTCTAGGGTGCAGTTGCAAGAACCAGACCAGAAAATAAAAGCACTGTTGCCAGTGCTTACCCTTGGTATTATAAGGTCGCGAAAGAGGGTATATTGAGCATAAACGCACCAAAATACCTACATTTCGTTTGTTGTGTAAATGCGCCGAAATACGTACGGGCTGACCGAAAAAACAAATTGGGTTTGGGCCCGCAGTGTAGCAAACTCAAAGCTGGACTTGGCGGATTCGAGATGTCAACCTCAACTTCGAATTTCGAATTTCGAAGTCGATCCACAACCCCTCATGTTTACCGCTGAGCAACCCTCTCAACCCTGTCCATTCCCAATCCTTTCCAATCCAACTTTGTTCCGAGGAGTTGGCTTCTATGGTTGGGAACGACGACGAGCTTGATGCTCGTAGTTGTCGACTTAGTAGTCCTTAATGTCGACTCAGTTCTTAATGTCGACTAAGTTCTTAGTGTTGACCTATAATGTCGACTTCGTTCTTAAGCTCGACCTAATTCTAAATTATGTCGACCTGAGTCTTAACGACGTCAGGTAGAAAGAGGGGTGCGGAATGGGGGTTGTTGGTGCTTTGCGCCTCGCCCATCCCCACCTCGACATTTTTCCTGCCCTAAAAAACTCTAACCTGCCCGGGCCTGCAAATTCTGTGTGTACCGGAACCCCTACCGTGCAGCGTATCGCGTATATACGCTTGCGAATAAACGCTTTCGTATAAAACGCGATACGCGTATTTTCCAGCTTAGCTCCAGACCGATTGGCCCTGGAAGGCAGGTCAGCAGAGATCATTCCCGAGGGGGCAGCAGAAAACGAACGGCCGGATCTTCCTTTGTTCTCCTCTCTCTCATCTCACCGTCCATATGCCCATCCCTGCCCTCTCCCTGTCCATACCTCTCTCTACCCAGTCTCACCACTCCAGACCGATTGGCCCTGGAAGGCCGGTCAGCAGGGGGCATACCCGTGGGGGCAGCCGTGAACGAACGGCCGGATCTGTTTCGATCAGCCGTGGCTGGCGTGCCGTTCGTTGATGTGCTCTCCACCATGCTGGACGCCTCTCTGCATCTCACAATCACCGAATGGGAGGTGGGTGGGCTGGGGAGAGGGAGTGGGTGGGTGGGCCGTTGTCTTGTTGATTAGGCGCCTGGGCACCCTATAACCAGGCTGGCAGGCTGGCATACTCTTCGTTGATATGCTCTCCACCATGCTGGACGCTTCTCTGCATCTCACAATCACCGAATGGGAGGTGGGTTCAGTATCACTGGGAGGTGGATGGTTGGGCTGAGGAAGGTGGGATGGGCTAGTGAGTGGGAGGTATGTTTTGCTCAGTAAGTGGGAGTTGGGTGGTATACTGTTTTGCTGCATAGGCACTGTCCTCCTGCCCCATAACCACTCACTATCACTGAGGTGGGTTCAGCATCCCTTGCCACCACTCACTATCACTGAGCAGGAACGGGAGGTGTTTGGTGTTTGGGCTGTGGGAAGCGGGTAGGCTTGTGATTCCATATTTGAGGCGCCTAAAGAATGTGTGCAGTGGGAGGGGAGAGGGCATGTGAGATGAATCAAGAGTGCCGTTTGTTACGGTGCTCTCCTGACCTCTGCTCGATGCAACTTGTGTGTTGTGTTGTATGTGGTTCTGTGTGGTTGGCTGTGGTCCTGTGCGGCTGTGTGAGGTTGTGTGTGGTTGTGTGGTTGTGTGTGGTTGTGTGCGGTTATGTGTAACAAGCAGGAGTGGGGCAACCCCCAGGAGGAGCAGTACTATCACTACATCAAGTCGTATTCACCCGTGGATAATGTATCCCTCTCTATCATGCCTACATTTCATAAAACAAACGTGTTTTGCAAAACCACTTTTCTATCCCATTTTTTCTGTCATTTCCGTGCACGTGCGAACACGTTTCAACCTGAATCCCTGTATCAGAACAGCAGTCAATCATTACGCGCCTCTAACAGCAGTCCCTCTAACAGAAGGGTTTTGTTTTGACAGTTTCCTGAAACGCATTAGACATTTTCCGTCTTCCCCTTTCTCTTGCGTACGAGCGCTTTTCCTTTTGTAACCCACTTTCCTAGTTTTTCCCATCCTTTTGCCTCCTTTCACTCTCTGCTGCTAGTCTGCTGCCCCTCCTCCCCATTGCAGGTGAAGCCCCAGGCTTACCCCAACATACTTGCCACTGCTTTCCTTTCCTTTCTCCCCCTGTTGTTTTCACCTCCCCATCCCTCCCTCCCCTGTACCTACATTGCTGCCTCTCTCCTGCTGCTCCTCCTCCCCATTGCAGGTGAAGCCCCAGGCTTACCCCAACATCCTTGCCACTGCCTCGCTCCATGGTAAGAGGATCTCTTTCATAAGCAGCCTCAATAAGACATTAACTCTATAACACACTGAAGTCGTCCTCTATAGGCCTAAAATAAGGCTCATTTTTTTCCCCCACGGTAGTATATCTTAGGTAATGTGTGGGGCGTGATGAGGCGATTTTTGAGTCGACTCAAAATTCCCCCACGGTAGTATATCTTAGGTAATGTGTGGGACGTTATCCGGCCAGCCAATTAGGTGGCGAGGCTGTGAGAGCAGTTACACGTCCACATGTGATTTCTCGCACACTTCATTCCTCGCCCTCCTCCCGCCCTCCTCCCGCCCTCCTCCCGCCCTCCTCCCGCCCTCCTCCCTCCCGCCTCCCGCCCTCCTCCCTCCCACCTCCCGCCCTCCTCCCTCCCGCCTCCCGCCCTCCTCCCTCCTTCTCTTGCTTGTTGTCTTCCACCAATCACAGACCAGAGAGTGAACTACTGGGAGCCAGCCAAGTGGGTTGCGAGGCTGAGAGACGCGAATACAAGCAGTGACTCGGTGGTGCTGCTGCGTTGTGAGATGGACGCGGGGCACTTCAGCAAAACAGGGAGGTGCGTGAGGGAGTGAGCGAATGGGTGAGGGAGGGAGGGAGGGAGGGGGTGAATGAGGGAGAGAGAGCGAGTGAGACGCCAACACCAGCAGTGACTCGGCGGTGCTGCTGTGTTGTGAAATGGGCGCTGGGCACTTCAGCAAGGGGAGGTGACTGAGTGAGGGAGAGAGGGAGGGAGCGAGTGAGTGAATGAGTAAAGGAAGGTTTTATAACTGAAAGCATGTCGTATGACCACTACAAGCTGCTATTCACCACTGAGAATACTCAAACGTGAACACAACCAACCAAGCTTGTCCGTGTTTTGCCCGTCCATTATGCAGGTTCGATCGCCTTGCTGACGTGGCGCTCCGCTATGCCTTCATTCTCTACACGCTTGGCGTGCACTGATTGGCTCTCTCCCTTTTGCCTTCTTGTGACTCGTGACATGGATGGAGCTTCGTTATTCTTAGACACCTCAAAAGCCACCAAGTGACTTTTGAGTCCACTCAGGAAGTCACCTGATTGGTTATCCCTCTTTCGCCTTTCTTGGAACATGATGTGAAGCTTCCTTGTGAAGTGAAGCCTTCAATAAAGGGGGTCTATTCTTGAGGCACTTAAATAATGCCAAATTCGGGGCCTAATTTCTCCTTTGAGCTGGTATACACGGTGATTCCTATCTTATTAGTGCATACACGAGGAATTCTTTGGTGAGTTGAGAGATCCCATGTTGTAACTGCGATCTAGCCTCCCAGCATGAGTGATATTGCTATCGAGAGAACTGTTGCAGGAATGAAGAATGACTAGCAACACGGAGATAGAAGTATGAAACCCTAACTGGGGTTGTGCCCTATATTGAGCACCTCATTGTAGTCTAGCAGAACTAAGAACATACAAATATGTTTTGACACACCCCCCTAGGCAAAGTGAGGGATAGCCAACACAACAAACGGTCACAAGACCAGTCAGGCAAGAGAACAAAACAATGCAAAGCCCAGGGTGGATCTCAAGATCACCACTCATTCTGAGCACAAGCAAGCGGCCACAAGGCCACTTCACATACAGAGTTATAATAGAAAGGCAGTACACTGATCGCAACCTAGCAAGAGAAAACATGCAGGTATAAATATATATACATATATATGTATATCAGTGTACAACAAGTGCAAGATCAAGAGTTAAGCAGGTGAGGCAGAACGGGCAGAAACCCAAGAGCAGTGCAAAAACGCAGATGATCACCGGACCCGAGGGCCTTGGTGAAGACATCAGCAGTGTTGGCCCGAGAGGCCACGAAGGAAAGGCGAAGTTGACCACGCTGCTGCAGCTCTCGAGCAAGAAAGTAGCGAAGAGCAATGTGCTTGATTCTGTGCTCCAGTCTCTGCTCCTGACATAAGGCAAGCATGGCATTGTTTTCTACGTACAGTACTGGAGGAGAACGAGGCCGCTCCCCCAAGTCGGTCAGCAGGTAGGTAAGCCAGCGTAGCTCCTGTGCAGTCATAGCCCCAGCGTAGATCTCGGCCTCATAGCTGGAACCAAGCACAGAAGAAGAACGAGTGGACCTCCACGAGACAGAACCAGAGCCAAGACTGAAGGTGTCACACTGGGACAAACGCTGAGTTGCCTGGTCGTCGGCCCAAGAAGCGTCGGAGTGTCCTGTGAGTACCACTGAACCCCGTCCACCAAGCACAAGCCCCATGCCCGATGTACTGCACAAGTAACGCAGTACCCTCTTCACAGCAACCCAGTGCACCTTTCGGTGCCTGCCCGGAGCCACGTAACGAGCCAGGAGGATGAGAGGGTACACGAGGTCAGGTCGTGTGCACGTGATCAGGTACATGAGGCAACCCACAAGCTCTGGAAACGGACCACTCGGCTCTACGGACTCGTCCGAAGATGGAGGTGAGAGCGAGTGGCTAGTAGGCAGAGGAGTGGGCTGTGGCGAGGAGTACTGGAAGCCGAAGCGCTGAAGGACCTGGTGCACCATGTGTGACTGAGTAAGGGTGATGGTGCGTCGTGCTCTGTCCCGGGTGATCTGCAAGCCAAGATAGCTACGCAACTCACCCAGGTCAGTGCAGGTGTGTCACTGCAGGTCAGTGCCGCTCCGCCTTCACTAGGGCTAGCGCCTCAGTGTCAGCAGTAGCAAAAACCAAGTCGTCGACGTACACGAGAACGTAGAACAGCTGCCGAGAAGTGTCGGTGCGTAGAAACAGCGTCGGGTCGGCAGAGGAAGGAGCAAACCCAAGAGCCGCAAGTGTCGTCCTCAGTGTGTCGTGCCACTCACGAGACGCCTGGCGGAGACCGTAGACTAGCCGCCGGAGGCTCCACTGGGTACCCGCAGGAAACAACCCAGTGAAGCCAGGTAGGCAGTGCAGCCATATCTCCTCGTGAAGGCTGCCCTGCAAGAAAGTTGTGAGAAGTCGAAAGAGTGCAGCTCGTAGTCACGCTGTGGGGTGGGGTCATCTTCGGGGTGGGGGAGAAGGTCTGGAAGAAGTCGACCCCCTGTCGCTGACTGGAGCCTCGAGCAACGTAACGCGCCTTGAAGGCAGGCGGAGAACCCGGCGGCCGCTTCACTCTGAAAATCAACATGCCATCGACTATGTTCGCCCCAGGAGGAGGAACCTCGTCGACGTAGGTGCCTGTGGACTTCCAGGAAGCCATCTCTGCGTCCATGGCTATCTGCCACTAAGAGGAGTACTCGTCCGCGATCGCCTCTGCGTAAGAGCGCGGGGTAGGGATGTCAGGTGCATCCGGGTCTCACTGAGGGCAGAGCAGCATGGATGCGAAACGAGGTAAAGCGGCCGCAAGACACTCAAGCTCAAACTGCCTGTCCTCAAGGACGTCACTGCGAAGGACAGGCCCACCCCCAACGGACGGAGGAAAAACAAACTCAGACTCAGTAACAAGACTCGCGACGTAGTCAAGACATCGTCAACCAGCAAAGTCGACTAGCTTAGTGACGAGGGCAAACGCAGCAGTAGACTCAAAGTCAGGGTCACTGATGACAGTAGCGAGGATACGAGTGATAGTAGGACTGGCAGCATGAGCAAGGTCGAACTCTGGGTCAGGAACGTCACGAAGAGAGGATGCCGGACGAGATGGCAGGGCAACATGCTATGGAATAGAGGAAGGACGAAGTGCCATAACGTGAGTGTCTGGGACAGCAGGAGAACGAGGACAGGCAACACGACGAGCACGAACAGGCGTGGAAGCACGATTCTC